AGCGATATATATCGATTTGGAGGACAATTCTAAAATGTGTAAGCTTTAATGACAAAACGTTGCTGGAATGCCTATAAAAATTGCATCGATTTGACCAACTTATGATATATATAGCCCGATGTAATTTGTTTTAGATATAAAAGTAATCCTGATTACACCTGTTTTTTCGCAGAGTAATTGATTCAATTACCATTAATTGTAACCAGAAAATGTATGATCACTTATAACATTGAAAAATGTAATTGATTTCAGCTTATTACTATTACTCCATGCCATTTCAGACAATAAATGAAAATGAAAAAATCACACCTGCGTTTTCTTAAAGATGTTTACAGTGAAGTGTACTACGTTTGGGACAATTATATAATATAAAGAAAGGTATACAAGCTGTAAATCAAATTATGGATAATTTTCTGTTATGGTTTATGATTTAGTTTGTGCTTCAGTCGTATTAGTTTTTTACCTTATCAACTGGACTAAATCACCACTGATCTTTAAAACTCATAAACCAAACGTATGTTTTAACATGTAATTGCACCCCATATATTTACTATTTTAGGCATTATAATATAAAGAAATAACATTTGGAACTAAGTGAAAAAAAAGGCAAGTTATCCACTGTCCAAACTAAGGACTATGTTGTGGACAAAGACAACGAAAATCAGAGGACGATAAATGTGTCCCCGGACCATCTTTGAAAGAATTCAGCAAAGGTGTTGATTAATTTTTGTAGAAAAATCCCTGATTGATAATTAACCAGTTACTAGTATACATAGTTGACGGTTATTGAAATCTAATAAGTCACTACAGACACATTCGTAACGAACTAGTAGGGAAATAAAAACACCGCACGATGGGCCAAAGGAACATCATCGTCTTAAATTTGAAAATGACCAATAGGGAACGAAAAATCGTCTCTTTTTCGTCAAGTTTAGCATGCGGTTTTATATGTGAAACTGAAATATTCAAATCCAGAAAGGAAGAAATATTGCTCCTAATATCAGATTGGTCCATATTGTTCCCTTTTACAATCGCCTTCTTATCTCGCATATTTGTGTACAGGATGACAGATCAATCTTAGTTGAGACTTTACATTTGTATTTACTGCTACTGAGTGAAATACTAGTAGTAAGAATTAAAAATTATAATGAACTTAACCTTGAGGTTATTTTCGGTCTAGTATGGGAGAACAAGGTCACTTGCAAAACAGGAAAACACTTATCATATTAGTTTAACCAACAAACGGATAATGACTGTTCCTGTACATTTTTAAGACGCAGAAAAAGAAAAATTAATCCGGGAGGTTTAAAATACATATATGAAACAATTTCCGGGATATAATTTGAATTATTTTTCACTTTTCTCGTTCAGTTCTAAATCATTTCTTACACAGAAATGAACCACGACATTTAGCTGTGACCGAAAGTTAGTTCACAGTTTTGACAAGAACTGATCCGAAATGTCTGACTAAACTAGTTGGAGTGGTTTAGCATCTGTTGAAGCATACATATGGTAATCTGCCAGTGGATTGGCAAAAGTTGATGTTTCCTATCTTTCACAAATGTATATATTTTTTGGGAAAATGAATTGATACATGTTTTAAAGTCTTGTTTTTGCTTTATTTTTGTACTCCTAAAGCTCGTCTGTAATTTTTCAATGGCAATATCAAAAATGGTTGTATGGGTTGTTACATAGTGATTTTCACACGACGTATTAGCCTTTGATGTTAAATCCATTATGATAGCTTTTTTTCTTTGTTAACCCAAAAAGAACAGAACACCAATTACTTAATTGTGATTTTAAAGAGACAACAAATTTACGATATCATAATGTCATGAATGTATTGTACAGAAAAACAGTTTGGTCCTTTATGAATACGGAATTAACAAATCTAAGTCGCTGTTAGTAAACTAACGTCACTATGCTTGGATAACACTTATTCCATTTCATGGTAACACTTTATTTGCAGTTTGAACCATATCGGAGACTATCATGACTAGATTGCGTGAGCTTGAGACGGAAAAACTAAGGACACTTCTTCGATATCATTTTAATGTAGTACTTTTATTCAATCGCAAAAAATTAGCGCATTTTCGGACAAGAACACATTAAAAATTCTGTAGGTCTGCCAAGTAGGCAAACTGGGGTGAAGGGCCAATGAGTTGACTGCCACTGGAACAATGAGGGTAAATGAGTTATATTTAAGGGCAGAACTTTTTGTCTTGCAGCAGGTACCCCAAAAGGATTCCTCAGAAGGTTGTTGAAAGGGTTCTTTAACATGTGTTAATGTGCAGTGAACGTGGCACCCACAATAAACGCACGAGGCATTGGTTTCAACGTCTCCGCTCTGACCGGACGAAGCTGCGAATAAATACAGCCCGAACAGCCAAACAGACGCCGCATTTTAACAAGGGTTTTACTGTCGGACGCGAGAAGTCAAAGGATGAATACATTTCCAAAGTCAACCCTCGGCTTTACAGAATGAGTAGTTAAAATAACAGTTACCACATAAACACCGATTCTATGAAATTTGATTTACCAATGTCGGACTATTGGGATGTCGGCATAATGGGGTGTCGGACAGATGGGATGTCGGACGTATGAGGCGTCGGAACAATAGGATGTCGGAATATCGGGCGACCACAAAAAAGATCAAGTTTCGGACAAAAACCAAAACGTTTGTACAAAAAGCAAATCGAACAAGTAGCAAATCGGACAAATAGCAAGTCGGACAAAAGCAACGGAAAAAAGCAAAATTTGCTGACAAAAAATTACATTTTCGGACAAAAAAGCAATGGATAAAAAGGCAAAAGGCAAAATATGCGGGCAAAAAAACTAAAATTTCATACAAAAAGTAACATTTTTCTGACAATAACCAACGTCAGATAAAACACGAGTTGCGGGCAAAATGCACTGTATCAACCGATAAATGTAACAGTTTGAAGTGAATCTTGAACATATTTAAAAGAATTATGTTTATTGATAAAAAGAATTAATGCACAAATTATACAACTCATAAGAATACATGTATTTGATGCAGTTATTTGATTTTGCTTAGTGTTGTATTGTTATACAGTGAAACATCAATTATACTGATTAATAGAGGAATGTTTTACCACCGGTATCTAGGGAAATATTAAATTGATATTAAGGACGACAACAGATTAATGTTATACTAATATGAACCCTGCTTTTTCAACACCATGCTACCCCACCCGGACACATTATTCTGACTTTGGGCCAACCTGTCTATGCTTTTACTCCTAAATGCCGATGGTTTAGCGGAGACGCATCAAAGGAGTAAGGGCCCATTTCGGTCAACAAAAATGAAATATTCAAAACTATGTGATTTAAGCTTTGAAATATTCGTTAAGAATGAGTAAAGTCTTCGAAATATCATTAATATTAATTAACAGAAATGTTTCTACAAAAAAAGACAAAATTTGCATATTTCACACAAACTTGTTTGTTGGAAATATTGAGCGCATATAAGTACCGCAAACATATTTATATGAAATTTGTTGTTTATATTGACAATCTTTGCGGTAAATTATTTAGTTGGTACTTGCATTCGCTCTATATTTGCGACAGAAAATCTTCCTGGCGTCGAAACTGCATCTATTGTGACGAAATGTGGTAAACACCCTCTTTCTTCTTAATTTTATCACACCACAACTTGAAAACAGACAAAATTTGAAATGTTAAATTAAAAGAGAAATTTCAGTTAAATGTTAGGGTAAACTATGCTTTTAAAGTAACTCGTCTTTTTCAAGTCTTTGCTTTGACAGGATCGGAGATATCAAATCATTGGCTTCCAACACTTCAGGCAACCACGCTACCACAAAACAATTTAAGCGCTTCACATCAGTAAGAAGATAGACTACAAAATTGAAAATGAAGATCCCACACCCACACACATCCACTAGTAAATCGATTTTGAACTTAAACGGCCATTTTGATCTGATCAGGTCTTTAAAGAATTGATTAAAAAGTAATGTTCAGTCTTTCAGTCACTTATCTACTTGGATAAATTCAGTACTGTTTAAACAATTTGCTTGAAGTCAACAAAGATCTGCTCAAGTCTACTTTAAATACATTTCTGTTGTTGTCATTTAGCTATACAACACAACAAAGTACTGAATTGTCTGAAATACTGCTGGACAGTACTCAGTTTAAATTGACTTCATATATCAGACGTTGAAAGTCTACATAGTACAGGTACTCAATTTATAAAAAGGAAAAAAATGGGGGAACACGATATTTGTTTGTGCACCACAGTGACTGCAATAATCTTCAGCGTGCAATCTCGTGACCAAAGTTTTCGAAAGCAAATTTATAAAACGTTGTCAAAGTTTAACTCTTCTATCAATATTGCAAAAAGATTATGTAAATGAAAATAACACAAAATATATTACCTATATAAAAACAGGACATATTGCATGTTGATATATAAAGACTTAAGACAGATATATATCACAATGTAGGTATAGATCTTCTCCTTTTGAAAGTTTTTATATTTAGATTCCTTGGAGTTCTGTATTTTTTCTATTCTATTTTCGTCATCAATTTTCAAAAATCAATAACAGTTCTTCTAACATGTACTCTTAAAAATCACATCAAGGTTAACGACAAGGAACAGTTTTACATTTTATTAAACAATTATTTTTAAGTATTTTCCTTGTTTAGCCAACCTTTTTGTACAAAACCATAGAGGTAACATATAAGCTGCGTCGGATAAAAATCGACCTTATACAAGTGCACATAAACATGTACATGTGTAAGACTTTTAATGATTTTGGAACATTCAAATAGTAAATATAAAATAAATTTTGGTTTGTTTTGATGTGTTCTTATATCTACTCAATTTTCAGAAAAGTTACATACTTTGCAGGGAGTTTGTTTGGTCAACACATTTATTGATATTCATTTATATTCATTTGCATAAGGTCGATTTCTATCCGACGCAGCTGATATGTAATTAGCAAAAACAGGAAACGTATTGAGGACAGAATTGTCGTTGAAACGAGAAGGAAGTTTGCTTGTCGTAAAACTGTATAAAAAGTTAAATATTGTAGTTTTACTTTGCATTCTGATAATACAGCCATGAACGCAACGTGCCTTTGGTGTGTAGCTGTTATTGTTGTCTTTAACTGCGGTGCTGTACTGTCAGTAGATACTGATTGTGACACTCATTGTGCTAACCTAAAAGGTAAGACACTGATTTTGATTTAGATTTATACTGAAAGAATACTTTTGTTTTGATCAGCTCTTCCAAAGTTTTTTTTATAGGTTTCGGGTTTTCATATATTCCGGCCTCGATCATCACTGAAGAGACATTAGTTGTCGAAATGCGCATCTGGTGCATAAAAATTGGTACCGTTAATGTCATTATGTCTGTTCAACAACTCTTTGCAAATAATAAGTTTAGGTTGAACATTTTGCTAAAATCCGAATTCCACGTGAGCAATTTTTGTTTGAAAAATTGCCACTAAAAAAGGTGATCAACCACTTGCAATAAATATTGATTTCAGCCGTAATACAAATCGGAAGTTTCCAAGTAATACTACTTTAAATGCATTCATACATATGTCTGTCAATATTCTTTAATCCAAATTCAGAATTTTTTTGTGAATACTTGCTGTCACTTGTATATCATTTATTTTCATATTTTGAAATAACAATATATTGCTTTTTTCGGTACTTTTATAATGAGTAAAAACAGTTTAGCAATATATATTTTAATTACAAAACTTTAAATTCAAAGTTCCAAGTTGCGGAAGTAACTCTTTAATAACTTGGTTGAGTAAATATTGCATCTTATTTTTTAATCATATCTGTTACCCTGGCTATCTATTTATTATTATGTTTAAAGTATAGTCTATTTATTGTTATCGATAAAGTAAAATCTATTCATTGTTATGTTTAAAGTATAGTATATTATTGATATGGTTAAAGTATAGACATTTTACAGTAAGTTGTGGTTCAAGTATTTTCTATTGTTGTGTTTAAAGTATAGTCTATTTATTGTTATGTTTAGTCTATTTCTTAAACAATTTTTTTAATCAGTATATTTTTTTAAATCTATATATTAGAAGGCTTTATCTTTATTGTTAGGTTTAAAGGATGGTGTAGCAAAGATAAATGCATATATTGCAGAGGCAGAAAAAAAGTGTACTCCAAAAGCAGGTATGTATGTAAAATAAAGTTAGAGAAAAAGGATTCGTATGGTACCGAAGGAAAGTATAACAAAATACCGAACTCCAAGGTAAATTTAAAAATGGAAAGTCCATAAAATGGTCAAAATCAAACGCTATCAATCAACGGAACAAGTAAAACAACTTCCATATTCTTAACTTGATACAGGCATTTTCAGAAGAAACGGGCTATATTACAGGACATACCTATTGTATAAATTGATAATTTGTTCTCGTTTTCAGCATGCATACAATATTTGCCACTGGACGTTGACCAACCATCAATCAATCAATCAATCTATATGTTATTGCAAAACATAGAAAGTAATGCATTTACATGACTAATTGTTAGATATATCTTTGATAGTAACAAACTAAAGGGGACATGCCGAGGATATCATACATAATAACTTATCATAATATACTAGTGACCATATTGCATTAATTCATTGTATAGTTAGAATAAATTAAGCTTGGTATATGAAGTGTTTTATGTAAATTGTAGTTTGTCCCGTCGACTGGATCTTGCATGGAAATAGTTGTTACTATTTTAGCTATAATTTGACAACTTGGAATAACGCAAGGGTATGTAAATATTCTTTATATGCTGCGTTCCGTTCATTCTTTTAAACATTTTTAGTTTCCACTACATAGATGTCAGGTTAAGCTGTAACAATCAATTTCAAAATGATTTGCACATTATCTTCTTTGTTATGGGTTTTTATTGTTGTTTAAAATCGACTATCCATTCACAGACTCAACATAAATCGCTTCCTACTTTACAGATGTACTTAGGTGAAACTAAAAAGAATTAAAAATCTAAAATTTAAAAATTATACTATAAGAGCATTAGTTAAGGAACAAAACAAGCTAAAAATATTGATAGGTTATGGAGTTCTTTTTCGAGATATTTAATTTTTTAAAAGATGGCAGAAAAAGGATGACTCGGACTTTTACCTTGTATTTGCATTGGTATTATTTGGGTCTGAAATCGAAATAAAGGAAATCTAGAATCTGCTTAAATTTTGGTAAATGACCTTTTATGAGCTATTGATGTCTTATCTGAAAAGAAAAATGAGTGTTATGGGGCAAAATATTTTACCTCGTATCGTAGGAAAAAAACCGAGGAGTCCGAACATTTGACAAAAATTCCTAAACCTCACAAAATCACTTATATCACTATAACAGTAATGGACAGAACAGTTACCTCTTCTGGTTGCATTACTTTAAATGATTAGAAAAATATATATTATCTATATAGTGATAGTTACACAAACAGACACATACACTGTGTACTTATCTATGTATGTATGTATGTATGTATGGTAACTTCTATATTTGTTTCAGATTGAATGTGCAAATAGAGGCGGATACCTTGTTGAAGTAGATAATGATCAAGAGAATTTATGGTTGGTGTCAATGTTGAAAGGTATTTTCTTTTGCAATACTATCATTACAATTACCTGAATGGTAAATGCGTGGACCTTTGGATTGTAGAAATGCACTTGGGACCAAATTCCTTAATTTTACAATAATTACTGTCGTTGCAAGTTACTCATCTGTTCCGTAGTGACAATCCTGTCCTCGTTTCTTCAATTCGCGTTTTCGGAATCTAGAGGCCTATGGGTAATATCATTGTTTGTGCACCAAAATGAAAATAACGTTACGTAATTTGTTGTGTTTCCATTGTTTAGTACGGTTTAAACCAATCACAACGTTTTGATGTATGTTTTATATAAATAAGAAGATGTGCTATAAGTGCCAATGAGACAACTCTCCATCCAAGTCACAGTGTATAAAAATTTAACAATTATAGGTCAAAGTACGGCCTTCAACACGGAGCCTTGGCTCACACCGAACAGCAAGCTATAAAGGGCCTCAAAATGACCAGTGTAAAACAATTCAAACAGGAAAACCAACGGACTAATCTATATAAAAAACGAGAAACGAGAAACACATAGGAACAACACCAACAAACGACAACCATTGACCAACAGGCTCCTGACTTAGGACAGATGCATAAAAATGCAGCGGGTTTAAACGTTTTAACAGGCGCCAACCTTCTCCCTAACCTGAGACAGTAGTGTCAAATTACAACATAAAAAGACACACTATAAAATATCAATTGAAATGGCTTAACTCTATCAAAAATACATTAAAACAAACAAATAGTGAGACGAGATATAACACAAAATAAGTAAACATTGAATTACAGAAATACATTACAAATTGTGTCGACATGTCGAATATTAACACGAAAGTACGATTTGAGAGTACTCGCAGTTACTGAAAGCTATTTAAAAGCCAAAAACAATTAACAATAAAAAATCATGCATCAGAGACTAAAATCTATTAAAACACGACCCAGTGATTTAGTGATTTAACGCCATGGACACGCTTTTAAAAATATTACCCAGAATGCATTATATTCTGAAACGGTGAATTGTTATATCACCCAATGCGACCAAAGAAAGTAGTTTTACTTGTAACTAATCACACGACGGGTGATACTAGTGAAAATAGAACTAGTTTTTGTTTGGTTCGTGTTACTCATATTTAATTTTCTACTTAATGTTTTGTGGTCTTTTATTTGTCTTTCGCTGTTTTTTCTTTTTGCCCTGGTTTTTTTTTTATTCTTGCAAAATGTAAATATGTAAATATCAATGTTACTATCTGAAAAGAAGACTATTTTGTCAGTCTTTATTTATTTAGTAATTTAAAAAGATGGCCTTTTTCTATATTTTGCCATAATTATTTGCTTTGATCCTAAAAAAGAAGAGGTGGAACCATCATTTTTCTTATTAAAATGTTTACTGCTGAATCGCTACAGAGGGTGGATGATCTCTCTCTCTCTCTGTCTGTCTGTCTCTCTCTCTCTCTCTCTCTCTCTCTCTCTCTCTCTCTCTCTCTCTCTCTCTCTCTCTCTCTCTCTCTCTCTCTCTCTCTCTCTCTCTCTCTCTCACACATCAGTTATGTTGATAGCACTAGGAACGAAATGTAGAAAATGAAATACGGGGTGAACTGATATAAAACTTGATTCAAATTTAAATGTATTTATTATTCTTTACTTAAACAGACGACGTATGGATTGGACTTACCGACAGTAAAAGCGAAGGACAATGGCGCTGGAATACTGGGTCTTCTAGTACTTATACCAATTGGCAATCTGGGGAACCAAATGGTGGTAGAGGAGAAAACTGTGCAAACTACTGTAATAAGAGTTGCCACAAGAGCAATTATGGTTGGAATGACAGGCCTTGTACGTATCCAACTGGATATGCCTGTGAAAGACATTTAGATAATTGAAGATCTGTTCATACGTCTATTAAAAGGTGTTTTTTTTAAACATAAAATTTAACGTTGGAATTTACCGCCATCTTTCAGTATAAAAATTAGCTTTTCTTGACATTTAAGTTATTTGTTGTTCATACAAAATACCAGTTTCAAAATTATTTTCTGAATAAAGCTGATTGCAGTTGTTTTCTTTTGGTAGTGTCTGCAGTAAATGTTATAATCTTGCTGTGTATATATAAACATGTAATGTCATATCATTTGCTTGTGCATGACAAGAGTTCCTGTTTCTCAAATTACTTTCCCCAGGGACGCTCGATTCAAACTTATTTTGATGAGAAATACTAGAACTGGAGTATCGAACCGAAAACTTTAAAATCTAAAGAGGAGAACAGTCAATTAAAGTAAATCTGGCTGATAGTGTTTGTACAAGTTCTTAATATATAGGAACTTAATTGTTCCATTCAAAATGTATCATTTATTTTTTTCAAGTACCGATACTCTGACTGGTGGTCAGAAGCCATCCTGCGCGAATGACATTCCGTCACCACTGGTAACGATCGCGTGTAAATAAATAAGAGGAATGACACCATTTTCAGAATGCATGACACATGTTTGTAGAATACCCTTAATTTATTAAAATTTAGGGAAATCAAATACGTTACTACATGGATAGACTCCTCTTTTGATAAATGTATCGGAAAAGTACATTTAATAAAAAAAAAATAACACTTTTTTGCGAAGCAATAATAATAATAATTAAAAACCAATTGTTCAGAGAGCAATTGAAGGTCTTTCCACATCAATTTTCAAAGTTATTGAAAAAAAGCTAGTTTCGGTTTACTCAAAGTTAAAATTGGCATCCTATCATAAGTTTCTTTATACTGATGCGATAAATAAATGGTTTCTATATACTTTTGAGTGAAATAAGGGAGATAATGTGCTTCTTCTGGTGAAGTGAATGTCACTTCCGGTCTCATATGATAGCTTCTTTCACACTGATTCCAAAAAAAATATAGTTTCTATATACTTTTGCCTGTAAACCAGGAGATAATTGGCCACTTCCGGTTTATCGAAAGTCACTTCTGGTCTTTAGTGATAAGTTTATGTATTCATATTACAAAATATATGGATTCCGAGTATTTTTCGATGAAGAAAGTACAAAAATGGATACTTCCGGTTTTCTAAAGGTCACCTCCGGGTGTCATTTTTCAAGTTCATATGTCACCCAACCTTTTGTAAAAGGTCACATATGACTTTATAATGAACCAAGTTGAAGTAATAATCAATTAACCTTATAATTAGACATTTCAGGGGCACTAACTCCTATAAGACGTCATTAGATTGTTTCAAACCAAATGTTACATATCTTCATTACAATAAAGCAAACATGTTGCACTTGTTCTTTTATATCTATATCTTTAAAAGTGTTGGAGAAAATGCAAAAACAAGGAAAAGTCAAAATTGAGAACTTGACTTTGACCTTTGACCTTGACTTCATTTTCTAAGTTAGGACCTACGTGTCTCAAATAAAAAGATTCAATGGTTATACGGTTAACGGTTTATGAGTTAAAAAAACCTATTGACAAATTTATTTGGTAAAGGTAGATAACTCCTATAAAATTACATCGAATCCCTTCGATCCAAATTAGCCAAAAATTCCTGAGGGTGTGACGAACAATTTAGAAAAAAAATTTTGTCGATATATGTTTTTGTTACGAAGAAGATGCACACACTTGATAAACAGTGAATAGGGAGATAACTCTTACAAAGAAAATTGTTCGGCTTAGAATGTGTGAAAATAAAAAAGGGATTTATAAACTGTATGATACTATACAGATGGGTGCAGTCCCAACCTGTACAGCAAGTTAACTTGATAACCAGTCATTTGGACTGGTCAAAGTTAACCTGTGACAGGATTTAGGACTGCTCTGACCAGTCCTAGGACCACAATCTAGTTAACTTGAAAAGCGGACCTGGTCCTAGGACTGTTTTTATGTCTGCCGAAAAAGTTAACTAGGAAACAGGTCCGCTATTGATATAAGTTAACCTCGAAACCAGTTCTGTCATAAGTTAACTCCGATCAAACCAGACCTGATCTCAAGTTAACTTTTGGCCTGGTCTGCTCAACACTTAGTTAACTTGTAACCAGGACCGCTCTACATCGATTTTTTTTAATCATACTGAACTATCTTTAAACATTAGCTTGGTTAAAAAAAGGGACATGTCGGTGAAAAGAGAACCATAATTATTTCTAATGGGATTGCATATGGTCTCAGTTGAAAATAAAACGTCAACCTAACATAATAATATAAAAACATTTGGTCAATAAAAAAAAATCAAACATCATGTCAGTTTCACAGTTTCAACATTTTTGTCGAATTAAGAGTTTTTTTTTAAATATGATTTGTCCGTTCCTAAAGCAAGACATTTGTTTTTACTATAGCCTCTTAAAAAAGATGGACTTATAAGTCTACTTAGACTTTAAGTTAATAATGAGGAATACGTGTGTGTATCTTTTATTTGACACAGTAGATGTAAACCTCCATGCATGCTGCGAGACTTTATGATTTCGGTCGTTGTGTAATCAAATAACAATCCATTATGCGATTTTTTATAATTAAAACTTTTCAAAATATGTTACAGTTTCTACTATTTTTTATTTATTTTCATATTCGTTTTAATTAATCATTTTATAATTATGTTTATTTCTAAAGGAATATATGTAACGGATCTCCGTGAACTATGACAAAGTATTAAGTAAACACGGGGTATTTTCCAAATACATGTAGCTAACTTAGCCAAATCAAAAACTCGTCAAAGATAAAACTCTGAAAGATTTCAACTTGAAATGATAAGAAAAGTGTGAGAAATTAATAATATATACACGGTGACATTACACGCATCACTCCCTGTGGAGAACAATCTTAATTAGCTACTTGAATCACACAAATCAATGTTGGTATCCCGGGGTGTGTAGGTTTATGCAGTACATGTACATGTAGTCGTAAAAAGTTAATTCGTAAATATTTTTGTTAAAAACATATTTTAAACTTTATCATAGTATTGGGAAGTTTATGTGTTTTTTCAGGGAAGATATTATTGTTAGTTAGCTTATGGTTATGGAAAAATTATGGAATAATAATTACGACTATTGAAATTTTAATAATTAAAAAAAAAATCATGTCATTTGTTCTGTTAAAAAATATAGCTGGTGCAACCAAAGAACCTAATCCAATTGATGTTTTATATGGTCACGATATATGGAATAACGATGAAGATTCTTCTTTTATGTCATAAATCCGAAGGATTTTAATTTCCACATGCATCCGCTACAATAACACCAGTCTAACCTAATAATAATACGTGTGTATTTTGTCAAAGATTTTCTTTGAAGATTTTAGCAAATTTATTTTTGTCATAATAATGAAAAATATATTAAGATTGTTAATTGTTGGAAGTTCACTTTTCAAAATAATGATTCCATTGTATACTTCATCCTCTCTCATGATTGAAAAGTGGAAAACACAAAAAAAAAAAAACATATACCTTGTGTATTGCAAGTATTGCTACTTTAATGTAGAGTAAACATGTATACATTCACAATTATATTGTTTATCAAAGTCTTAAAGGATATAATCATACCGATTCATAAAAGTATAAGTGTTTGCCGATGACTTCGTAACCAAGCGTGTAAAATTCTCTATTCCATGACAAATTAAAGAATTTTCAATTTTCAACCATAAAAAGACGGGAGAATTACAAAAGTTAATTTTTAGGCAAAAATATCATTTTATTTCCCTGTCTTTGGAGATTATTAAAATATCGACGACAAAATAAGAAAATAACGAATACTATTTGTTACTGAAACAAATAGATGTCAGGGGTTCGCAAAACAATGCCTTCTCTGAATACATTAAACGGGCTACTTCGCTATTTATGGTAGCAAATTTTAAATCAAAAGTGACGGATGTTTAAAATATCTTATTTTCATAAAATTTACACTGATCATTACACAGTTTAAACCTTTAATAAACTTAATTTAACGGCGCGAAGAAGATATTCAAAAGTTAATATAAAGTAATACGGGTATAAAAACTATTTGCCCATACAAATCTATAGTAAAATTAATCGCTGTCTGTGGACAATTACTAGCGCATTAATTAAAGACCGAACGAATTCTTGTACATGATCTTTTAATGTCTTTGTTTCTTGGTATAAACATAAAAAAATAAAGTCAATTTAATACTTCCGTGATATAAACATGATTAAATACATGTAGTTCCGTGTTGAAGTGATCTATTTGTAAATAAAGTACGCATAAAACTTTGCTTGTTTATATACAAATATATCCGTGATCTGCCGTTCTATATATTAAAAAAACGATAATGGTTACAATGCTAACGAGCTGAATATATATTCCAATACATATCAAATACTTTAAATCGTATTAACCATATTTGCACTTTATAATGTAAATCTATATAGCCGTAAAGTAAATCAGAAATATTTTTATGTCGGGATAGATTATATAATACAAATGACAGCAATATTGGACAACAATCACTACAAAATTTTACCCGCATAAATTAAGAGTGCCAGCATGTCCTCCTTTTGTTCAATATATTGATACGTAACAAAATTTCAGTAGTTTTGATACACCAGGCTGACTCGTATAGCAAAATTATTAGACCGTATCCACCAAAACTTACCAAATTTGCACTTTATCATGTAAATCTATATAGCGCCGCATAGTAAATCAGCAACTATTTTTATGTCAGGATTTAATGTATAATACAAATGACAGCAATATTGGAACACAACAACTACAAATTTTTGTTCGCATAAATTTAGAGTGCCAGCATGTCCTCCTTCTGTTCAATATATTGATACGTAACAAAATTTCAGTAGTTTTGATACCCCAGGCTGACTCCTATAACAAAATTATTTGACCGTATCAACCAAAACTGACCATATTTGCACTTTATTTTGTAAATCTATATAGCCACATAGTAAATCAGCAACTATTTTTATGTCAGGATTCAATGTATAATACAAATGACAGCAATATTGGAACACAACAACTACAAATTTTTGTCCGCATAAATTTAGAGTGCCAGCATGTCCTCCTTTTGTTCAATATATTGATACGTAACAAAATTTCAGTAGTTTTGATACACCAGGCTGACTCCTATAACAAAATTATTTGACCATATCAACCAAAACTGACCACATTTGCACTTTATTCTGTAAATCTATATAGCCACATAGTAATTAAATCAGCAACTATTTTTATGTCAGGATTTAATGTATAATACAAATGACAGCAATATTGGAACACAACAACTACAAATTTTTGTCAGCATAAATTTAGAGTGCCAGCATGTCCTCCTTTTGTTCAATATATTGATGCGTAACAAAATTTCAGTAGTTTTGATACCTCAGGCTGACTTGTATAGCAAAATTATTTGACCGCATTAACCAAAACTGACCATATTTGCACTTTATTTTGTAAATCTATATAGCCTCATAGTAAATCAGCAACTATTTTTATGTCAGGATTTAATGTATAATACAAATGACAGCAATATTGGAACACAACAACTACAAAATGTTGTCCGCATAAATTTAGAGTGCCAGCATGTCCTCCTTTTGGTCAATATACATGATATATTGATAGGTAACTAAATTTCAGTAGTTTTGATACCTCAGGCTGACTTGTATAGCAAAATTATTTGACCACATTAACCAAAACTGACCATATTTGCACTTTATTTTGTAAATCTATATAGCCTCATAGTAAATCAGCAACTATTTTTATGTCAGGATTTAATGTATAATACAAATGACAGCAATATTGGAACACAACAACTACAAATTTTTGTTCGCATAAATTTAGAGTGCCAGCATGTCCTCCTTTTGTTCAATATATTGATACATAACAAAATTTCAGTAGTTTTGATACCCCAGGCTGACTTGTATAGCAAAATTATTTGAGCGTATCAACCAAAACTGACCATATTTGCACTTTATTTTGTAAATCTATATAGCCACAACGTAAATCAGCAACTATTTTTATGTCAGGATTTAATGTATAATACAAATGACAGCAATATTGGAACACAACAACTACAAAATTTTGTCCGCATAAATTTAGAGTGCCAGCATGTCCTCCTTTTGTTCAATATATTGATACGTAACAAAATTTCAGTAGTTTTGATACACCAGGCTGACTCCTATAACAAAATTATTTGACCATATCAACCAAAACTGACCACATTTGCACTTTATTTTGTAAATCTATATAGCCACATAGTAAATCAGCAACTATTTTTATGTCAGGATTTAATGTATAATACAAAAGACAGCAATATTGGAACACAACAACTACAAATTTTTGTCCGCATAAATTTAGAGTGCCAGCATGTCCTCCTTTTGGTCAATATACATGATATATTGATACGAAACTAAATTTCAGTAGTTTTGATACCCCAGGCTGACTTGTATAGCAAAATTATTAGACCGCATCTGTGACATTTTTTAATAAGGGGCCATTTATAGCTAACTATACGGTATGGGTTTTGCTCATTACTGAAGGCTTATGGTGACCTGATATTGTTCACATCTTGTCTTTATGGATAGTTGTCTCATTGGTAATCATACCGCCTCTCCTTATTTTTATATTGTCAGCAACTGTTATTATTTATCAAAGTATTTGACAGTTTGGATTATATGATTAATCGCGTTACATAAAGTGGCAATTATTTCATCCATATTCAGGACTTATTTCCATCTAGAAAGTTAATATAAGATCATATACAGTAGTCAGAAAGTCTTGAGTTCATCATGTGTCTAAAACACAAATAATTTTAATCAAATTCTACCTAATGTATGGATGCTTAACTTTAACTGCATATCTTTTGTTGATCACATTCTCTCGACTTTGGTAAGGGTGTTTGATTGCTGTATGATAAATAAACACTAACCCCAAATCTTCTTTTTCCCATTTATATTTCAATTTAGCTGTCTGCTTGGTGTTTTAACTAATATAAAAACTCTCATAAAAAGAGATTAACATTAAATAAAATAATAAAATGCTCTGCAGGGCACAGCTTGATATGACCGCAGAGTTTGAACACTAAACAGTTGTGTAAAGTATGGACACAATCTTCAAGCTAGATAAAGCTCTGAATTTGAATTCTGATTAAATATTTGACAAATCATAGATTTCTGACACAGAATGTTGTCTAAGAACTTAAAATTCTAAATTGGACATTTACCTATTATGGTCTAATATTCAAAATCTAAATAAATGGTTAGATTCAACATATCAAAGAACCCCAAGAAATTCAATTTTTAATGAAATCAACCAAAGTTTAATTTTGGAACCTTTGGACCCGAATGTGGACCTATTTGATAATGGGGCCCAAAATCCAAAATCTTATTACATGGTTAGATTCAGCCTTTCAAAGGACCCTATACATTCAATTTTTTGTTCAAATCAAACAGTTTAATTTTGGACCCCAATTTGGAACAACTTTAAAACCGGGCCAAAAATTAAACATCTAAATACATGGTTATATTCAGCATATCAAAGAACCCCAATAATTCATTTTTTTTAAAATCAAACAATGATTAATTTTTTACCCTTTTGGACCTTAATGTGGACCAATTTGAAAAATTAAAAATCTAAATACACTGTTAGATTTGCATATCAACGAACCCCAATAATTCAAGACTTTGAATTAAATCCAATTGAAATTGGTCAAGAAATAAGCAATTTATATAAAGTACTAGAAAAGCATTGTTTTTGACCCCTTTTTCCTAAAAAGTAAGGGCCATAGCCCCCAAAATCTATCCCAACCTTCTTTTTTGGTATGGAATCTTGTGGTACAATTTCAGAGATCCATAGACTTATACTCTGGTTGTTGTCTGGAAACCAGAAAATCCTTGTTTTATGGCCCTTTTTTGGCACTTAATTCTAAAACAGTTTAGACCATAACCCCCCAAATCTACCCCAACCTTCCTTTTGGAGTATGGAACCTTGTGGTACAATATCATAGAGATTCATACACTTAAATACAAGTTATTGTCCTGATACAAGAAAAATGCTTGTTTTTGATCCCTCAATAAACAATTAGGACATTAACCCCCAAAATCAACCCCAACCTTCCTTTTGTAGTATAGAACCTTGTGGTACAATTTCAAAGAGAAACATACACTTACACTCAAGTTATTGTCTGGAAACCAGATGTGTTCAGACAACTATGACTACGGCTACGTCGAAGACTTTGCACCATTATCCAACCGCAAAAATTTTGAGGATAAGACTGCCATCCATGAAGAAAGCAATTTTTTTAAACCTGGCATTCCTAGATTTACAGCCAAAAAAAAACCAATTCAAAAACATTTTAAACTTTATTACAAAATCCAATACTCAAATAAAAAATGAATAGATGGAGAGGTGACTAAATAGAATAAGTAAACTATGTAAAATACTCGTTACTGATATAACAAAAAATAAAGACTTCAACAGTCATCAACAATAATTCACATGTACAAAGTCAGCAAAAAATATTAATGAATTAATGTATTGATATATAAAGTTACAAACACAATTAATACACGTTCCCAGTGTTACATCCCATGGCTACAGTTGTGAAATGTTTGACAGTAACAATAGGGGGACTGTCATCAATAAAGTAATTCTGATATAATAATTAAAACATTTCAGCAACAGTGTTGTTAATAATAGTTCAGAATGGTGATAAAAAAAATAAAAATATCCTGAACATGCTGAATGTGATTTCCCTTCACGACTTTCTAATGTTTTTATTTCAATTTCTGTCATAATTTTGAATACTTAATAGGACTTATTAGGTGTGAAAACATTTCCCATGATTTCATTTCAATGCAAAGTCCATTTTCTCCATAAAGATGGAAATTCCTGTCTATTCCCAATTCTTAGTTGTTGATGTTTGATAGACCATCAACCACAATTTTTAAAAGCAGGATCATAATGTATCTTTTCCTCATATTTAATTACAGTTGATTGGTACTTAATAACGTAATTTTAAGAAATTTTCAAGTGGATTTTGTGTAATTTTTTTCTAATTTTAGCAATGGTGGTAGCCATGTTTAATGATCAATGAGGTGATCGAGTATATTAGGCATTCCAAATAAATTTTCAATATTTTAAAAATAATTGCAAAAAATATTATTAAATAGATCTCTGCATCAAAAATACAAAAAATCATTCTTACTTTAATATTCTGTTTGTTTACAGAGATTTTGGAATATAATAAAGGCATTTATTTTTCAAAACTTTGTTTAAATTTTTCGCACTGGTTACCTGTAAAACATGAGCACAACAGCCATAGTATTGAAAACATACAGTTGTTTTAATACCTCTTTAGGTCTGAGCTATGCTGCTTTGTCCAAAAAAACATCAATTTAAAACATAAAACAGGTAAAAGATGGAAAATCACACAATTAAAACAATTCTTCCCCTCTGTTCAACATTATTCTTACAAAACTTAAAATATTATTAGTAAATGATACAACATTCTAATTTAAGATTGCTTCTTTAAAGGAGCAACACTGGAAAATTCTCAAAATTTACACCAAACACAAGCACATCCTTAAAATGTTAGATGCATTTTTCTATTGGAATGCTTACAAGATTTCTACCTTCAAACATAAAATGAATAAATGACATTTGAGATGCATGTCATTTAATTATAAAATATAATAGCACTTATTTTATGAACAGACATAAAACAAGGTATGTTACAGAATGTTCCCCATTCAAATACATATCTCTCAAAATATAAATTTTTATTTTGTAAAAAGTTTTTATCAATCAAATCTTCATTTTCTCAATGCAGTATTTTTTTCTAGAGTTTTCAATGCAACAGAAATGTCCCAGTCTGTACAATTTAGCCAGAAAGATGAGGTTAAGGCCACAAAAAATGTTAAGAATGGTTAACAAGGAAAAAATTTGTTATTGATCATTGTACAACCTGAAAAAAAAAGACATCAAAAATAGATAAAAGTATATCTGAGAAACAAAATATTTAAAAAACGTAAAAAAGCATTTCTCTCATGAAAATGCTTATTAATAATAAATGTAAAAATCAATGATATCCCACATCCTATGTTTCCAAATACAAATTATTACATAAAAATATGATAGAAGAATGAATATCATCTCGCTACAAATATCAGTGTTTTGATAACATTACACTGTGTACAAAATTACCATTGAAAACTTACTATTTGATTACAGATTGGCAGATATGGTTGTACTCTGGCCAATGATTTCTACTACTAAATAACTGAACAACTTCCTTTTGACCATAATTAATAGGTATATCAATATAAAAATAAGGAGATGTGGTATAATTGCCAATGCGACAACTATCCACTAGAGTTAAAATGAAGTGGTAGTAAACAATACAGGCCATAGTACGGCTTCCCAACAATGAGAAACCCCCATACCCTATAGTCTTCATTTTGTTCTTTATTGACCGGTATATCAACATCTTTTTGTTCATAGCTGACTAGAAGTTTTCTAAGTTAAAAGATCACTTTTGTAGCTAGTATATCACTGTTTACAAATAATATTTTAAAATAGCGACCATAAATAGACCTCTAGATGTCTGTTTCGGTTTTATGTGTTTTGGAGTTACTATATCTTTGACATACTTCCTTTCAATAATAACACAAAAATTAAACATGTCACAAATTAATCAAAACTAATGAAGCTTTGTGCAGGGAAATATATAATTCCAAAACATAATAGGTGGATTTTGAAAAACACGTTATACAAAGATGTACCTTCTATTTTATGTAATGCTACTACTTCAAGCAAGATTATTGTTCATCCCTTAACCATAGAGTATAGTCAAATCAAAAAACCTTTGTACATGGAAAAATATCACTGATAATGACAACAAAATACAGAGATATATCATTTCCCTTCCTAATTCTGGTTAAATACATAATGTAATTGCTGCAGTACAAGTTCTTATTTTCTATAAAATACAATTGTGTCCCTAATAATTCCTGATAAGATAATCATACAACTTTCTTAAGGATGTAATCAGGTGAATTGAAAAATCAGGAATTTAAAATTGATTCTTTAAATTAAAAGAGCATTAGTTAAGGAACAAAATAAGCTAAAAATAATGATAGGTTATGGAACTTGTTTTCAAGATATTTGATTTAAATAAAAAGGGCGGGAACAGGCTGACTCTGACTTTTACCTTATATTTAGTATTGGCATTATTTGGGTCTCAAATTGTGAGAAAAGAAATCTAGAATCTGCTTAAATTTTGGTAATGAACTTTTATGAGCTATTGAAGTCATCTATGAAAAGAAAGTTGGTGGCATAGGGCAAAATATTTTACCCTGTATTGTAGGAAAAAACGAAAGGAGTCAAAAAATCTGACAAAAAATTCCTAAACCTGAAATGACTACATCCTTAAAGGTTTCTATGAAGAATTGGTGAGAACCATGAAATCATATACCCTTGAAATTTCAATTTTTCACATACATGTAGCCATGCAAACTTATAACCACTAAAATAATGAATCCACAGTAATCGATCCAAATAAAGCTTTGTGTATGGAAATATTCCATAATATAATCAATGCACGAAATGCGTGCTGTGAGTGCGAAGTGTAATTTCTTATTTGCTCTAAAAAAGTGATTTTTTCTTAAACCAATATTATTGTTTATAAATTAACTGAAGAGTATATACCCGTATGTTGAGGAAATGCTACAAGCAACCATCTAAAATTTAAAATACCGGTAATCATATTCATAGTTAATGTTCAGTATAAATTCCACCCTTTAATAACCCTTCCAGAGCACCTCCAATCACCCTGTTTCCTGGTGGGTTTTATTTTGCTCATTCTTTAGTTTTCTATGTTAGGTTTGTAAACTGTTGTATGTCTTTTTGTCATTTAATGTTTTTTGCCATGGCATTGTCAGTTTGTTTTTTACTTATGAGTTTGAAAATCTTAATAACATACATGTACATGTTTTGTATCTTTTTCAAGTAATTACAACTTAATCATGTTAATTTCATCTATACAGTTTCAACATCATGAGATTATATTGACACAAATCACAAATCTTATATAAAATAATACCAAAAATAACAATTGACCATGCGGTTTATAGCACATGTGTAATAAAAAGATTAAACATGTTAAATATTTGAATCAGATTTCAACAATCTCTAATTTCACAACAAGTTTATTTACATCAAATATATAAAATGGAATCAAAATAGGAGGTATAATATTGGAGCTTTAATTTAACCCCTGAATATGTAAAAATAAAAAAATATTTAAACAACTCCACAATACAGGGTCCGCAACCTCAATAGGTTTGCAAATTTAAAAGTTCTGTCAAGTTTCATATATCTTGGTTAAAATAAAACTTAATGTTACCATCTTTTGGCAATTTTGCTTAAAAAATTATTAAGTTCCCAAGTCTGAAAAAATGAGGTAAAATCCTCAAACAATTCCAGGGCGCAGCCAAGTCACGTGCAATTAGCATGAGACTCACGCATTTTCATGCTTATTTGGTGGCATTTTCTTTTGATCTATTGTTGAGGGTGGTAAAAGGTTATTTTCGTGCAACGTGTTTTGCCATTTATATTTCACGTGCAGCTGTGAAAAAGGTTCGTTATTCACCGTGTTTCGTGAAATCAGTAAAAAGATCAACGTGCAAGACATTTTTAATTGTTTGTTCATCATGAAATGGCAATGTTATTTCGCGTTCTTCCGTGCAGATACCCCCACCCCCCCTTTACGCCCCTCATTGTTTTTTCTCTTTGATCTTTACAATTTTGGCCAAATCTCACGCATTTGCTTCATAAAAACTTGGCAGTACTGCAATTCCACAGTAACATGTGTAACCTTTTTGTGAAGTTTCAAGGGTCTGGATTGAAAATTGAAGCAGGACTTGATTGCACAAATTAGGTGCCCACTTTTCCACTAGCCTGTTTAACATCATCATACTATTTAAGTTGAGACTCCAACCAGGCCAAAACTTCATAAATGTCTACTAAAAACATTTAATAAATATAAAATAAAGTTCATTGAGCTATATATTTTGATTTCATTATACATTCATGTTAATTAAAAACAAATCCTAAACTTATTTATTGAAAGTTAAACTAGAAAAATGCTTTACATTCTAATCTTAATTAAAAATTCTTTTCATAAAAAAATTGCCAAATAAAGAAATATAAATCAAAAAAGAAAAATACATAATAATCACCAAATAAATTTCCCATACAATGATGTACAAAATGTTAGTGTAATGATACCTGGTAACATCCACTTTGTCTTAAAGAACACTGGACTACATTCAAATTAACAAAAATTCTAAACATAAAATAAAAATAAACAGTGAGGTCCAAGCAATTTCTGTTGCTAGCTATATAAACCTGACACATATTGACTAAAGGTGGGCCTATAGTCCGGTCTTATATCACAGATAATAGACCACTCTGTGCAATAGAGTAGTCTCCCTTTGAAATTCCATATTTAAATACATGTATCTTCTTTATCTGCTATAATGCTAATATTGAATAAAAAAAACGCTTATACTTAAGATGACACTAATGATGTCTTGATAGTTGATATTGCAGAAATGTTTAAGCATTTAAGCTATACAATCAAGGCCTTTCAGTTAACTGCTAAAAAAAGCAATATGAGAGATGTTCTTTTGATTTACATTAATTTCACATTATTACATAAATACTTCTTTACTTTCCACATGAACAATTTATCAAGTCACTGCAAGCACTTGACAATCTGACGGTCTCCATAAAAAAAAAATCCAGATAAATTTTTGTTTCACGCTTGCCCTGAAACTGAAAAAAAATACATACATAAAGCGCACCTGAGTATAGCACGCAGGGACAATGACAGAGAAAAAAACCTGCGCTTATTTAACGAATTTAACGGTAGTCTGTCATTCTGAAATTGAATTCATTTAGTTTTACACACAAAAGACATGTGATTATTAAATGTCAGAAATATATACACTGTTAGCATGGTTAGGATCAAAAACGTTTTGTCATCCTAAAAACATCAACTGATAACAAATATCACCCAAAGTTCGGTTTTAACAGGGTGAAGGGGTCAAAATAGAAAAGTAAAATATATTTTTAGAGTGGAAGTCTATTTAAAACATTCCATCTGCTTAATTCGTCTGTGTGAAATACTAGGCAGATTCATAGAAAAATGTCACATGATATAACTTTTTTCAAACAACATTACAACAACTTTCTCAAAACTCTCCTATTGTTTCATGTAATCTATCCCTAAACATATCATGTTTGCACAGGCCAGCATAGTTTAATTGAAATCACTCAGCTGCCATTTCATGTTTGATAGCAACATAATTTTATGGTGAGAGCATACTCCACTAAAGTAATCATTTAAAAAGTCATTTAAAAAAAAACATTGAGCAATACATACATTGACATATATTCATCAACATGACATAATATAATCATTATTTTCAAAATTTGGATACCTGTCTCCCATTTCTAGAATACATATATATCTAATAGTTGACTCCCTCTTCTTGGAAGTCATCATCTACACTAAAGTACCTTTTCATAAAAAAATGTTTACAAATTTCCTAAACTGAAGGTTATAAAAAATCAAATACATATGTACTGAAAGTATCCATGGAAGTGAAGTTTGAGAAATAAAGAAAATACAGAACAAAAGCTAAAAACTAAATGAAAATGTTAACTTTGTAAAAAGGGGATACAACTCTTGTTTAACATTAGTTAAAAACACATGAATTATCTTTTTGGTAATTAAGGCTTCCATACAGAATTTGACTTTCCGCTAGTCATGCTCTCAACAGTTAATGGTCTGTTCCTAAAACTTCCTGGCCGTGGGCCTTGTCTAGATGGAGGTCTACCATCTAAAATGAATGGTTCCATTTTATTTTTATCTCTGATAGATCCTTGCGTCATTTGTCGGTTGTAGCTCTCTTGTGGTGCCCAGTATATTGGTGCACCCTTGTTCACCTTCTCTGCCCACGGTGATTCAAACGATGGTTCTGGTAACCCTTCTCCAAACAATGACTCATCTACAAAAGTTGGTGTATGTCTAGTAAGTCTATGTTTTGATTTTGATGACTGACTGGTAGATGAATTCCTTAACGAAATAATACCTTGAGATTTTTTCTCATATCTGTGAATATCTACTGGCGACGGAGACCATAAAAGTGGGGGTCCTTTCTTTTTCTCCTCTTTGGTAGTCTGGACCCATGGATATTTAAATCCATGATCTGTAGAGTGTGTTGCGTAATTATGAGATTTGAACAAAGTTTCATCCACATTTGCCGATTCTCCTACTTTATGATATCCACTGCGCGTTCTCCCTGACAGAGGACGGGCTCTGCCACTCGCTGAAGGTGGTCGTGATCCGGTGATAACAAAAGCATCTGTCATAACTGGCTTTAATCTGAAATCAAAGATTTAGAAAAATTTATCATTATACTGCAGTACTAAAATTTTACTCACGTATTTCTCTTGGCCTCCCTTAAAAAATTGTTTGAGAAACAGTTTATAAAAATCTCCTTAAGTCATAAAGGGCCATAGATTTACCGTATCTATATATATTATATAGAAACAACAAGAAAATGGAGATGTATGTGCATCCATAAAGGGGCATTAGATACGAGATATAAAAACAAATAAAAAGGGAATGTGTCCATAGGACACAGATGATGCCCCCGCTTGCATATAACATTCTAAAGGGACATAACTCAAGAACTGTAAAAGGGACGCTACTCAAATTTGTAACTTGATCTGAGTTTTGTGGTAATAAGCATTGTTTATAAGTTTCATAACATTTTGTTGAGGCAAACTAAGGTAAAAGAACAGAAACGAAAAAGCTATTTTTCCATTTGTAAAGGGCATAACTCTAGAACGGTAAAAGTAAAGCCACCAAAATTCTAACTTGATCTGTGTTTTGTGATAATTAGCATTGTGTATAAGTTTCATAACATTTGGTTGAGGCAAACTAAAGTTAGAGAATGGAAACGAAAAATTCAGCAATTTTTCCATTTGTAAAGGGGCATAACTCTAGAACGGTAAAAGTGATGCCACCAAAATTCAAACTAGATCTGTGTTTTGTGGTAATAAGTATTGTATATAAGTTTCATAACATTTGGTAGAGGTAAATTAAAGTTAGAGAACGGAAACCAATTTTGGGACATAAAGACGTACATACGGATTGACGACGAACAGACGGACAAGGGTAAAACTTAATGCCCCGTCCGCTACAGCGGGGGCATACAAATTGTTTTTGTTCAATCAATAATGAAAGTGAAATAGTGAAATAATAATTTGGGTTAAGCAGCCAGTTTGGTTCAATTTTGTCAAATTTAACTAAGAAACATTGCTGATGAATTATTCACTTGCAGGTGAATAATTCAATCTCAGTGAATCCGTATTCATGTGACCTTCAATTTAACCCCTTAGCTGGAGATGGGTTATGCATGTATTCAGCTATTAAAAGGATAAGAATGTCAACATTGAAAGTGAAACAAGGATGAACCATTTGGTTGACTGATTCGATCCACACAAAAAATCATTCTTACATGTATACAGGTAAAAACAATGATAAACATACTTTTTCCTACAATATGAAATCAAACAGACCTAGAAAATCCAATTGCATGTGGTCGCTATCTTTTTATATATATATTTATGCTTATATTGGGTTATAAGACCATCGGCAGTCTTCGGAGGTCATCTCGTTGGTTAATTAGATAATGTCTAGACGAAAAATACACATGAAATGCTGATATATATTATCAAGTCCATGCATTGTTAATTGTTTATTTTAGACTTTTTGAAATTTGGATATACGTTTTAGTATGTCATGTATATATTTTAAATCAAATATGAGAATTTGAGTCAAATTGGTGAACATGAACTTGACAGCTAATTCCCCTTTAAGTCATATTGTCATATCTGCATAATTTTTATTATGTCATATCTCAATTTACATGTATTAGCATGTTACCATGGTTATGGAGAATTTTTCTGTTTTTCATCATGTTCATTCACAACTTTTTTAAACTCAATAAGATTTAACCTTTACATATTGTACAGACATTTGTGTCTAGATGTCCTTTGGCTATTTGTGTCTTTGGGCTGCTGTCTCACTGACATATAACATTATAACAAATTTCTTTTTGAGCTTAGAATAATTAATGCATATCATATGGCCCCTAACAAAACTGATGTGGCAGTAATCTGGAAGGATTTTTTTTCTATGGGCCCAGGGCCCCCCAAAAATAAAATCAATAGGCCATTTTTAGAATTAATGGGCCATGTACATTGTCAAATGAGTGGGACATTCGTTTATGACAAAAATTAAAAAATTGTATAGTTCAGCAAAAAGGTACTAGCCTGTTTGATTTTAATTGATATCATGGATATTGATCCTGTGCTTTTGTAGTTTCAGAGAATAAAAGTTAATTTAGTTCATGGAGATTTATGTGACCAAAGACATACAAAAGAATATTTGTCTCCGATGTGACTAAGAATGATATCGTATGAGTTCATGAAATGTAAAATCACTCAGAAATTAAGCTTTTAATGACTTATAATAAAAAACTATAAAACTGAGTAATATATGACTAGACAAACACCACTTCAATGAACAGAATCATTAATGAGGAAATGCTGAGATCAAGAATAGACATCTGATCTGGACTGATTTTTTAAAATCTGTACTAGTAATAATTGGTAATTATTGAAAAATCTATGATATTTGATTAAATTTCATTCTTTTGAGAAAACATGAAACTTGAACATACACACATGTACATGTATATTAAGTATCAAACCATACAGTACAATCATAGTAGTAACATAATAAAAGATAAAAATAATAACTCTGTACAGTATTAATATTGGGCAAAAACAATAAACTGAGTTACTAGAACTACAACAATGGCAGACTAAAAGTAGCTGACCTAGATTTTGTTGCACAAAATAGGAGAAAGAAGAAATGAATCTTAATAAGAAAACTAGACCAATTAAATTCCAAGTTAGTTGAAATGATTTTTGGCAAGATTTGCAGTACATTTTGCTGCCATCATACAGTAACCAGGGCCATAACTTCTCCTAAACCGGGCTATATTTACGAGAACCTTTATTAACAATGTTAATACTGGTACCGTCGCCTTGTTCATGTTTTTGTTCCTTTGACATTAAATTTGGGTCTTTGTTGACTGCCATACTTTATTCCCGATGTTCCGTATTAGAGGACGTTTCAGGCATTTCCTCTGCATTTTTCATATTATTATTTTATCAAGAATAACAAAAGAGAGTAACATTTTTCAATAAGACACAACAACAATTCCCTGTAGGCATGTTTACAAAATGTACAAACGAACTGTAACCAAAGACCAAAAAATTGACAAGGACAGTTAAGTGCCCTTTTATGGAGACAAATACTATATTAAAAAAAGGCCTTTGGGTTTTTGAATCGAAATTATAGCAAGTTTACTTTAAAAATTATAATTTGAGAAAATTTCTAAACTGTACTAGCCAACTTTCACATAATTAAAGTTGTTTACTTTGAAAATTTAGATCATGGATGATGGTTAATTACATTTTTTTGGTAATCAGATATACCACACATTGCTATCCTTAACATGAAGGAAAACGCCAGAGACGTCCAAAAAATATATAGGTGGTGCTCCTGTCTATTGGAGGGAACACAACACAGTTTTGTACACAAATATGGCAACACGAAACACGATCGAAAATCCATTTAACGATATCTAAACGTTTAGATACAAAAAGAAATATATTGTGCGCCACACTGGCGCTTACATTTGCCACTCTATGCGCCATTTCTGTTCCATATGCGCAAATGGCGCTCGACCTTCCTGATCACTGTGTACTGACCTGCTAGCAAATAATCTTCGACTCACATGTCAAACATTAATTGGTTAATTTTATTCATTGTGTCATGGAATAACAAATTTATGTTACAGAAAATCAGAATTGTTTAGTTGATGTACGGTTGTCAATGGTCGTGTTAAAATGCCGGTCAATACGATCAGGATTATTTCACTTTTCCCTTTGGAAAAGAGTAGTTTGGCATTTACTTGTCCAACCAAATTGTCTACTGTACCAGATAAGAGTTATTGTCCAGTCCTAGGTTGCGGGTTCAAATCCATGGAATTTTCATGATTGCTACTATACAATGATTACTAAGCATTGTCCATGCATGGCATAATCATGTTGATTTCTATTTACAGAAAATATTCCCTTTCAGAACACTTTTTTTAATTAAATCTATAAAGGAATACTAGTCATTCTAGTCTGAGAAGATTGCTCTTTGATCTTGACTTGAGCAAAAAGTTTAAGCAGTCTCGAATGCAACCTACTGTTTAGCAACATTGAAGCTATTTGCTTCGCCTTTACTGTTGTATAATACCTTGAATTTCTTGCTTTGTCTAGATCATTTGCCATTAGTCAGCAAATATTACAATTGTGGCATTATCTCGACATCAAAATCTTAAAAAATTGCTTGACATCAGTAAACAGATCATCACGGTCTGTGAGACGTTTTAACAATATCATAAATTTAGACTGTATTCGGAAATATAATTTCCGTAAAATATGTACTATGTTAATATATATATCGATTTTTTTATGCAAAGAGAGGAGCCGCCCAAGTTGTATAACGGAAACTTAACTTTAATGTAATGGTGTCAATTAAAAATTTGAATTTGAAGACAAATACGAGCTACTTTTTTTATTACCCTCCCCCTTTTCAATCATGTCGACCAGTAATTTCGTGCAGCTGTCTGGTAAATTAAGTCGTTAAATTCAAGTTGTCCTCTTGGCCAAGTGACAGGAGAGGGGTCTCAACATACAAAAATATACGCACACACATCAATTGTGCAATTATTAATACAATGTTCCTACATATTCTTTGACCCAAAGGTGTATTATAATATCTGCCTTTTCAATGTGTAAATTACGGTTAGAAATTCTTAATTTACAAAAATGCCTATAATATATTGTTTCGAGGCATCCAACTTTGTATGTACAAGTCTTGAGTTTAAATTCCTTTTTTAACTTGTAATATGTACGTTGTTTATTTTGGTCTTCATCTGATGAACGTGAAAACAAATATTTTTCATATATCTTTCTTGTAATCTATTTTTAGTTTCTCTGCAGATATGAGTTTTCCCTTTATTACTAGTTCCAGACATACATTAACAAACCCAACGAATTTTAGAAACTGAAAAATGTGTTTGTTAAAGGTACATGGAAATTAAAGGTACAATAAACTTCTTTGATTGACTTATATGCTAATTTTGAAAAATTCAAAAGAGTGTCTTGAAGTTCATATAAATATAGTCAGTATTTAAGAGACTGCAAAAGGGTAAATATAGAAATTGGGTAGCGACCAAGTTCTGCCATACTGGCAATGCTAGGAGCATATATTGTTGTTTGTGAAAAGAAAATCCCTACCCATTACCCATTCATGTATTTCATAGGAAAATCATAACCCATTGATATTTTTTCCCAGCTTAATCAGTATACACTTTAAGATGCAAACCACATGGGACAGAGACTACTTTGTGTTATACATGTAGTTGTCTCAGAGACATCTTAACAATAGGTGAATATTTATGACCCATACACATAGATCATTCTACCTCTGTTATATTACCTACGCAAAATTGAACCCCATTAATATTTTTGACATTCCAAAAAGTGACCCATACCAGCGACACGTCTGTATATATACCTTTCTATAGGAAGAGACCCCCACCCCAGCCTTACCGCGTGGATGATATCGCAAGTCATTTCTTCAAGTTGGCAGTGGCATCGACCATTCATCTATTGTCTATTGTATAAAAATATATATAATATAATTTGCCTAAGAGGCCGGGAGGCTCAAATAGCGTAAAATATATGTCCTTGGCTAGGTTAAACAAATAGTTTGTTCCTGAATGACAAAATTGATTAAAACAATTTTCATATTTCCGTTGAAAAAAGTTTTATATATATATATAAAAAAACGGAGAGAGAAAATATTTGTTCCGACAGAAAAGCATATTCATTGCTTGTATATAAAGATAGAAGAAAGTTACTTTTTTCCTATGAGGTCACACGGCAGGCCCGGTCGGGAAAAATCACGTCGGTAACGGTTTGACGAGTAGTTTGTTAATTTCGGTAACCATACTCATTCAACACATGCAGTCAGGTACTTGGCTCTAGAAAAAAAGATGTCTATATATACACCTTAAAATCCTGACACATATTTTCAAGGTATAAGACAAGTACAGTGTGTGATTCAATCATGTTTGTCCATTATTATCTATTATTTGTATTTAAGCGCCCTGTTATGCCCTATTCTTTATATTGTTTGCCTATTTTTTTCTATTTTTTAATGTTTTGCCATTTATTCTGCAATTTTTGTCCATTATTCTCTATTCTATAAACCCAATCCAGACCCTCGTGTACAAGTATTGCATAGAAGAGCAATTAAGAAATTCTATAGGCAAAGATTGATAGTGGTTAAGATTCATGAATACCTGAAAAACAAGAATGTGTCCATAGTACACGCGGATGCCCCACTCGCACCATCATTTTCTATGTTCAGTGGTCCGTGAATTGGGGTCAAAACTCTAATTTGGCATTACAATTAGAAAGATCATATCAAAGGGTACATGTGTACTAAGTTTCAAGTTGGTTGGATTCAATTTCATCAAAAACTACCTTGACCAAAAACTTTAACCTGAAGCGGGACAGACGGACGGACGGACGAACGGACGGACGAACGGACGGACGGATGAACGGACGAATGGAGGAACGGACGCACAGACCGAAAAACATAATGCCCCGGCCTAGGTTGGGCATAAAAATGTCACCAAGAAGAAGTAGAAAAATAAACATTACAGAGATAGAGTTATTTAATAAGACAACCCCCGAAAACAACCTTATCATATGGAAAAACAACACAAGAGATATAAAGGAAGGAGAAATATTTGCAAGATTAGCTACTTAAACATATCAAGACGTATCTTCTTCAAGCAAAAAGAGCAACGAAGTTTGATCCAAAAATACAATCCACGCCGTACAATACGCGGACCGAGAAGTGAAGATCTGGAACATTTTTAATAAAAGTATATTGCACTGAACTATAAAATGACAAGAATGCTACGGTCAATTTGTTCCAAGTTCGATTCGGTAATGCTAATTCTTCCTGGTTTGGTTAAGTCGGAGGTTAGTTCAAACTTATTTTGTTCATGAATACTTCGTCCTTTTTGTCGAGCCTGCAACGGGAGCGAAACATAGCGATCCTACCTTCCGTCGTCGGCTTCGAGGGCGTCAACATTTAGGTTCAGTCTGCATGTGGTTAAAGTTTTTCAGACATCAATTACTTTCTCAAACCTTCATGGAATTTTATGAAAATTGGACATACATTTCTTTTATGATCTTGTAAGATATACGATATAAGCTATTTATTAGTATAAAATCCAACCAATCGGATTACTACTAAATAGCACAAATAAACATTAAACAAAAATAGCATTTACAAGAAAGAAAAATTATTTAAAAAAAATCTAAGTTTATTTCAGTGTCTGTTTTCTTTTTTCTTATTATTTTTCTTAAATGCTAGACAACATGCCTCTCCTCAAATTAACAAAAAAATTGAAACAGAAAAAAATATCATAAAATAGTCAGTACCCAGAGTAAACTTTAGATTTATTTTTCATTTCTATTTGCAGTTAACATTTAATTACTGCATGGGGTTAAAAAAAAATAGACCTTAAATAACTTTGTCATACCTATCTAACTTTTCTTTTCATTTAAAGTTAAAGAATATCTGTTTGCACACTGTATTATATATAATGATCAGCTCTGCTAAACGCCATCAGTTGCGGATCTAGGACTTTGAAAAAGGGGGCTGACAAGCCAACGTTTGAAGTGATACTTGTAATAAATGAAAATGTCACATGATTGTATACTGCCAAAAGCTGCAATGATATTTTATCCAAAGGAAGATGTATTTCATATTGCTAATTAAATAGTGTAGATAATATATATACTTTTTATATAGTCTCTCATATCTCTTTTTAGAGTGTCTCTTGTACGTTTTGTGATTACGTTTAATTAACCTTGTCTTGTCTTGTCTTGTCTTGTCTTGTTATTGCATGGTTGATTGTGTCGTGCGTAAGGGCCGTTATTGAGAACTGTATATGATAGCACGTGTATATTCAATGAATCGTAAGGATTTGTAAAAAAAATAATTAAAGCATTATTAAAAGTGTATGTTGAATACTTAACATACTTGAAAAAAGTATGCCCATGTATATCATATAGATATCTGAAAAGGTACCCGTATAATAACTATTGAGGGTATATATATATATATAATACATTAAGTCAGTAATCGAGTTTAGTTCACGCGGAAACTAGTTGGCACCATTGAAATATTCAGAACGAAACATTTCAATGATTAGCTGGGAAAATTGATTTGGTTTCTGCAGTTTATATATATTCATCTTACTGTTGTTTTGATAATAATCTGCAAAATCTTTGTGAATCATCTCCGGCATTACCATGGACATGATGATCGAGGACAATAAGTTGGACAATACACTATTTGACTGATTTATGGTAACAGCCACGGACGGGCAACTAAGACAAGGACCTATATGGTTTAGTTATCTCATTCAGTGGTTAGCAATCGTACAGACTCTCCCTATTTTTGTATGACTGTGAGTTTGAACCCATTTGTTATGTATACGTAGTGTCGATTTCGGTCGTTCTTCAACCATAGAAGTACGTATTATATTGACTCGATATTACTTCCATGCTTCAACTTCAAGGGCGGATCCAGGATTTTAGGTTGGGGGGAGGCGCGCAAGCATAAATTATCGCCGAGCGGAGCGAGTCGAAAAATTTTTGAGGTAAAATTATCGAAATATTCTTTATTAAGATGAGGACAACCCATGCTTTGCAAATTTTAGGAGGAGGGCATGCCCGCTACGCCCCGCCTGAATCCGCCCCTGAACCGGCTTAATTCTCTGTTAAACTGTATAAAAATTGGTTAACTTTCTAATCGCTTGCAACATGAATTTCACCTATTTACCGTATTAACTAACTATTATTACTATTAAAAGTAATTATTAACTTGAACTTTATCTAAATTCTTACCTAATAGATATATGTATGTCGTCAGTGTATTACTTTGTGTAAATGACACTGACTTTAACAATGTACAAGACGAATTAAGTGTAAATAATAATATATATGTTTGCAGTTTTTCCCCCTTTATTTGTCTCATTTGTATTCCGTATCTGCGACTATTATACTAGTATATTATGTCCCAGGTTCTATCAATTAATTAAGTTATTCTTTCCTTCGGTACTGTTCTTTTGTATTTGTTTATTGTCACAAAGTTTAATTTTATGTTGACCATTTATTTCCGCCATGTGTACTAAACGTTTTGAACAGCACAAATTTCATTTTCCATTTTTGGCTATAAATTATTTTGGACTTTTCAAGTATGCAAGCGCACACCAAGTGTGACAGGATAGTCAACCTATATAAATGCCGGTGGTCAGTTAGTGCTGGGAACAGTATATCTAATGTAATTATATATGTTCCTGGTTAGTGGTAGAAGAAGAAGAAGACCCATGTGGGCCCATTAATTTAATTAGAAATAAAAGGTAAGTATATTCTATGTATATTGTATTCTATTTAGGTTTTTTCTTAAATGGGTTAAGGTCTCCTTTTTTCGTACATTTTACATGTTTAAAGTGTACATTTTTCCAACACGAAACCGTTCTGTAGTGCTCCACTATTGGTGGAGGAACATACAATTAACTGAACTAGAGAGATATTTACCCAGAACACATTGCGATGAATGTTATACGATTACAAATGGCCGTCGACATGTGCGTGGATGAGCATTGGCGGCACAAAGATTTACTAGAAATATGTGTTTAACTAATAACATCTAAATTGTAAAATGGTACAGTATAATATCTGACACATATTTATGTTATTTCCATATATATCAGGGATTGACTTGTTCTGGCAAGTCGTGAATTAATCATTTGACTGAGAACGCCTTCCTTGTCTCACCTCTCGGTAGTTTTCTTATCGGAATCGTGATTAATAAGATCATTGATTAATTTATTAATGATTTGTTCAATGAGATGAATCTATATCTTTCTAATATTTGTTCTGCTTAAAACGGACAAAAGCGCATTTGACAAAATAAAGGGGCAGCCCCTGTCCTGCCGGTATTCGGATACCCCATTGATCGGATACCTGTCAAACAATGGTTACTATGTTTTTCTATAGTACAAGTAGATTTAAACAGCTCATGTTGTGTTCATCATAATTAATTTACATTAATACTAGGAGTGATTGAAAAAGAAGACCCTTTTGTCATCAGATAGTATTTGAATAATGCAAGTTAAATACATGAGTTGGCTTGGTTGTAAACTAAAGTCTTTGTTACACCACAAAATTCCTCTGAGTACAGTAGGCAATAGACGTATTTACACTCGTATGCAAATTTGTCCAACATTACGTAAAATCACACAGGTTCCCGTAAACTTTGACATCATAATTCAAAACATTTGACGTCACAATTAAAAAGTGATTGTTGCCTGACGTCAAAAGGTGATTCGGAGTAGTTCTAAGGTCATTCGGAGGCAAAATGTAGCTAAATACCAAAAGTGTTAATACGTTTATATGTCAAGCTCTACAGTTTCCAGATTCTAGAGAAACTGAATAAATTTAACACAAACAAAAGATCAAGACACCAATTGATCCAAATATAAAACAAACATAAGATGAGCTGCAGAATCATAGCTCTTACGGTCCGTTACTGTGGACCGTATAGTTATTTTTCGACAATTTTTCGGACCTTAGATCTTTAGATTAATACTATGTTAAAACAGACTGAATTGTGACCCAGGTTAAGGTCACGCTTATTTCCAAAAATGTCATTGTTTTATCGCCTGTGCGTAGCTTGTCAATGTATATACAATGTAATTCTTTTGATAAGATATTTTTCTATGATATTACATACCTATTTATTTTTGAATACTCATTTTCTTGACACTATTATCAGTCAGGGATATAACTCTATAGGGTTATTACAGAAAAATAACATACATTTGTTATTGTGGACTAAAAAATCAAAGAACTGTGATAACATATGTATGTTACATGTTTCAAAGGGACAATATACATCATTAGTTTAGTTAAAATGTATACAAGTTCTATTGATATTACTATTGTCTTTATGTATACTTAACTATAGAAAGATATAACAGTTCATAGTTTGCCAATTTTGTATAGTACACCTATGTTATTACAGAAAAAGTATGCCTGTAATAACTAAAGGGTGTTATCACAGCTTCTCTATATCACTCCAAAGCATTTGCTCAGACATAGATCATGCTTAATTACAATGTATTTTAATTTATTGTAAGAAATAATGACCAGAGCATGTAATGAGGTTCTGCGCAAGCTTCCCAGTAATTCCCAAGTGTCTCATATAATAAGTTACATTCCTTCAATAACTAAGCTATGTTATTACAGCTAAGTTTATCCCTTATAAGCCTCATCTCATTGATTTACCGTGGTTAATCAAAAATGTATTAATTTAAATAAAAAATAAATTATCAAGGCTATGCATTTAGTTTCTGCGCAAAGTCTCAAGAGTTCCCTAGAGCCCACTATAAATTAAAATATTTTTGATCTATTTTACAAATAACAAACATATGTTATTACGGATTTATAAAATTTAAGAAATAAAGAGTAGACAACTCATGAAAGTATCTGTAATAACACACGCAAGTTATTTTCTGTAATAACCCTATAGAGTTATATCTCTGACTGATTATCTAACTATTTCCTTTTGTGTATGTCTCCACCTATTTTGCTCAGCCAATTTACATGATTTAAATCTCGTTGTGGTCCGCAAATTGTCAAAACATATCATAAGGACCGCAAGAGCTATGGTTCCGCAGTACACTAAGATATGACACAAGCACTCAAGAGTTTTTATTATATTTCAACACTCCTATTTTTTTTTTGTCCAACTCAGTGGACAAAACATACAATTTAAAACCAGTATTGGAAAAGCATGTTAACTGAAATTACCTATAATGAAAAAAACAATATTATACTGTATTAAAGAATGCTTGAGTTACTGAAAGCAAGCACAGTACATAAGATGTTTAAAAAAGAAATTATTAGATTTGGTACATCCTCACCTCTAATATCAGTTGCAGTACTTCTTTTAAGATTGCACACAGCAATGTCAATCGTGTAGGGAGATAGGACGACATGACTGTGTGTATTAAATGCCTAAATCAAACTTCTCAAGAAAAACAAACGAAACATTTTAGCATTGCCTCAACTTATAACAGGGTTTTCTTGTTCCTTAATTTTAACTAAATTCTGTTATATTTATTAATATTCAAAAATATTTATATCAAAAATATTTAAATCCACAGTAACCAAGTTGTGACTTCATTTTCCTGGTAGCCCATGGGCCAATTTGTCAGATCAATGGAAAACACTGAGCATTTCTTCAAAAAAATTTCACCAACATATCAGTTGTTGTCTCTGCTAACTTACAATGTATTAAATCAAAATACAAAATATGTGACAGGATTGACCCCAAAACCATGTTAAACCATGTATTGCAAATGTCAGACTTTTGTGGCATTTTATATTATATAATTCCCATGCCCATTTTATACCAGACCTGGACATGGTGAAAACACAATATTTTTTAGTATTATGTAAAGATGGCTACTTCTGAACATTACACATGAATGATTAATTTTAGACTCTTGGAATTTTATTCACAACTTATAATGGACTTGAATTGCTGAACAATGCCTTAATTATTGTATCCAAGAAATGAAGTTTTTTTCAGTGTTTAATATTGATTTACAATTTCTGTTACAGATGCTAGATAAGGCTATAGAGTGGTGTGGGATCTGTGCCAGTGTAGGAAAACCAAGCAAGCTCAAAGTATACCAGATTAACCTTGAAGAAGCTGTCAAGTTGTGTGAGGATGAAGCTGTAAGTCAATATCATAAGGGCAAATAAAAATATATTTGTGGTTCCAATTGCTCAACCCACCCTTGAACTGTTTTTTTGCATTTCTGAAAAAATAAATTTTGAAGGATCCCATTTTGTGGAATGTGAACTTCAATAATTAAATTCACAGACTTCTGGCATCTGAATTTCCAGAACGCAACAAAATTAACTAAAAACGTAATATGTCTGTGTATTTTCCAACCAAACATATTAAAAAATGCCTAAATGGTGAACTTGCAGTAGGGGCATGTAAAATGCTGGAACCGGACTTTGCAATTGTGAAAATACAATTTTTTTCTGGATTTTGACAATCCAAATAAAAATGCCTACCTACTGACCCTGTTTTTTTTCAGGAAGTAATTAAAACCATACTTATAATTTTATTTTCCCTAATGTACATCTGTAGTGTGGTCAGTTGAATATGACTGTATTCATTGTTTTTTGTTTTATGGCCCTGTACAATGCATTGAAACAGAAACTGACAATGAGATGTCCCAATGGGAAATTTCACTATTAAATGCAAATTGGCAAACAAAGCTAAAATCAAACTCACAAATTCTCAGATACAAGGTATGTCAAAATACTGTGAACCAACTAATTTTTGAAAGCAATTTATTTTGGCTACTTTCGGGAGAAGAAAGATGTGAATATAAATTGTCAGGACTATAACCAAAAGAATGTTTTATAAGACATGTAAGAATACATTGACAAAATGGTAAAAATAAGTCGTCACACAAAGTCATCAAGAAAGGTCTAAAGGTGTGGAAATAATATGAAATAAGGAGATGTGGTACGATTGCTAATGATTCTATCCACCAGAGATCAAATGATGTACATGTTAACTATTAATCACCATACCAGGGATAGAAATTAAAAAAAAATTGATAGTCCAGCCAATATTTTTAGTGGCCCATTGTTAAATGAGCAGACAAAATTTTTTTGAAAAATTAGTAGCCAAGCTCAAATTATAGGGGCCATGTGGTACTGGACCTCTACTAATTTCCATTGCTGACTACCAACTTCAACAATGAGCAAAAATCAAACCTCATAGGATAAAACACCCCAACATGACAAAATGTAAAACAATTCAAACAAGAAAACTAAATTGCCTGATTTATGTTCAAACCAACAATCAGAAAAGATATGATATACAGCAACAACCACTGAATTACAGGCTCGTGACTTAATTGGTTAGCAAAAGTTGTATGTAATAATTTCATGTCCTCAGGAAGGCAAGGTAAGGCATAATGTTAATCCCCTGTCTGTCAATATTGGTCCATGTTTTGTTTGCTTTACTCTCACTCTGCCTACAGTTTTGATTATAAAACCCATCTACCTAGCAGGACTTTTGAACATACATCAAAAGGGATACTTTTAAGAATTCAATGTTTTCATAAAAGAAGAGTTTGTTATACCAGAATGTATCGAGTGTGTAGGTAAAGGTTATATCTTTGGTTAGCTGCCTTGCTTGCTAGCTGAACCGTGAAGTCATTATTATGTTAGGTAAACTATCCTCCTTTAAGAGTAGACTAGTCCGAAAGATGACCAATCTATCTGTCTTTAGGACTAGACTACTCCGAAAGGAGGGTAGTATGCCTAACCTTATAATGACTTCACGGTTCAGCTAACAAGCAAGCTTACCAAAGATTCTACCTTTACCTACACACTCAATGCATTCTGCTGTAATGTTGAAATTAAAGGTTTGACTTTGTAATTAATAAGTCTTCTTGTATTTTCAAGGTTAGAGGCTTTTTTATCTAAGGATATTGTTTATTTCAATTGATAATGAAAAGAAGTAAATTGTATTTGGGCAATTCAATTTTAAACTACATGTACATTTATGATGAAAATGCATACTTTGGCAAATTTAAAGTTACTTTTGGAAAAAAAGAACTTAGATTTTTGTCGAGCCTTCGACTTTTGTCGAAAAAGCGAGACATAGCGATCCTACATTCCGTTGGCGCCAGCGTCCACAAATATTCACTCTGTTGGTTAAAGTTTTTGAAATTTTAAAAACTTTCTTTAACTATCCTGGATTTCTACCAAACTTGGACAGAAGCTTGTTTATGATCATAAGATAATATTCAAAAGTAAATTTTGTAAAAAAAAAAATCCATTTTTTCCGTATTTTACTTATAAATGGACTTAGTTTTTCTGCCAGGAAACATTACATTCACTCTGTGGTTAAAGTTTTTGAAATTTTAATAACTTTCTTAAACTATCCTGGATTTCTACCAGACTTGGAAAGAAGCTTGTTTATGATCATAAGATAGTATCCAGAAGTAAATTTTGGAAAAAAAAAAAATTCCATTTTTTCTGTATTTTACTTATAAACATGATAAATGGACTTAGTTTTTCTGCCAGTTAACATTACATTCACTCTGTGGTTAAAGTTTTTAAAATTTTAACATCTTTCTTAAACTGTCCTGGATTTTTACCAAACTTGGACAGAAGCTTGTTTATGATTAAAAGCTAGCATCTAGAAGGAAATTTTGGGAAAAAAAATTTCCAATTTTTCCGTATTTTACTTATAAATGGACTTAGTTTTTCTTCCAGTTAACATTACATGCAGTCTGCAGTTTAAGTTTTTAAAACATTTATTAGATTCATAAACTATCCTGGATTTTTACCAAACTTGGACAGAAGCTACTTACAATCAAAAGATAGTATAGAGAGGAATATTTTTATTAATTTTTTTTTCCTCATTTTTGTTGAGTCTGCGATTAACAGCTAAAGTAGGCGAGACACTGGGTTCCACGGAACCCTTACAAATTTTTAATGTGAATTAGGGGAATTTAATACAAAACTTTTTTTGTTTTTTGTTTGAACTGTTTATCTTATTCAATAGATTGTACATGTATTCACAATGTACTGTAAATTCAGAAATTATTTCAAGGTATTTATTAATGCAAATAATGCGACTGGGTGAGTATCGCAATAATAAGATCTCGCAATCTCATATCTTATACATATCTGTATGTAGATTTTTTGCTGAAATCGCAATAATTAATCTTGATTGTTTGTCAATTCTTCAAAAATCGCAATAATTTCTGAATTAACAGTAATACTTTTCTTCTGTTACAGTGCAATTATCCCATTGGCTTGGACAAGGTTGTTTACAGAAAGTTTGAAGAAGTACCTGTCCCACATAAACGGAAGTCAATACACAGACAGTCATCATTACAACCGCCTATCTTCTCAGCTAATCCAAATACATATGTACCACGACCACAACCATTGGCTTTGTCATGTCAGGCCCCTAGAAACATCATCAGACCTCAACCTGTCTCTGCCTTCTCTCAATCTAACAACTTTATTTCGCCATCTTCAAGTGTAGAAATGTTTGGGAGATGTCCACTGCCAAAAGCAATTAGGTCAACCTCACCTGAATTTGTACCAGTCCTATCACAACAGAAATCCACTTGTATTTCATCAAAAAGTCTTTCATCTTCAACCACAGAAAGTGTTCGTTTGTTACCGTCTCAAAGTTTTCAGTCATTGAATCCAGTTTCCACACAATCACAAGATACATTCATATCGCCTGATTCTGGAATGGAAATTGACACTTCAGAAGTTACGGAAGTTATAGATGTCCATTTCAGTTCAGATGATTTTGCGTTTTTTAATCAACTTACAGCACCTGAGTTATCAAAGCAAACAGTTTCCCCCAATTTAGTTTTATCAGACTTGCGAGCCGTTTCACCTATTTCAAAAGATTCCAGTTCTGAAACAATGCAAGCGCCACCTTCGCCTTTTATTCCAGTTAGGTCAAACATACATGTAGGAAGATCCGAAAATATAAAGACTGCTCAGGAGATCAATGGTATAAAACCTTTGGAAGCAAATGATACAGGCAACACTAATGGTGTAAAAACCATGGCTTTAGATAATGTAAGTGACGATGTAATATCTCAGGAAATTGAAATAGACACTTCAGACTCTCCTGTTCTAGGTGAGCACACTACTTATTTCGTGGTTGAGGGCAATGGAAAAGGCAGAGGAAAAATCACAAAACTGAAAGAAGAAAAATCTAGAATAATGAAGAAAGCGATACCTGAATATAACAAGCAGAAACTTCCAGAACATACTAAAGAGAAACAACCACCTCTCCTACCAGAGAAAAAAATTCCAACTTTAGACATTTTCAAATATTTTCCTCAATGGCAAAATGAAGAGGCTCTTTGTTGGTTGGATGTTGTACTTTGTTTGTTCGTTCATAGTAAAGCAATCAGGAAAGTTAATGTTGAAAATGAAAATGTAGACTTGTCTCATACAATTTTAGTAACATTGTTCAAAGCTTATGAACAGGCATGTCAGTTGATAAACAAATATCGTGAGAAAACAACGAAAAACCAATTGGAAGCAGCTTCCAGAACCAGGTCTGGTAGACTGTTTTCAGATCCTGAGGAATCAGACTCGGATGCTGTCGTGGACTCCCCTAATACAGAAATGCTCAAAGAAATATGTAAAATGCATCCAGACACAATCAAAACTGGTGCAGGACTTAGTTGCTCAAAAGACTTTTTATCTATGCTGCCTTTGGATGAACAGGAAAATTATAAAAAAGCATTCACTTTATTGAGAGACATTCGAGAAAATATATGGAGAAAGATGCAGCCACGCTTGCAGTGTGTTAAAGGCAAAAACGACAGTCCAGTTTTAGCAATACCATTAATGGTGAAGGACAATGTAAACATTGAGAGGGAGTTTTTGGTGGAATATGACTTCATGTTGTCATGTGAAGCATGTGGCTACCAACAAACCGATCGTTACAAGAAAGTTCTTCCAACATTGCCAGCTATGGAGCAAAACTTCACCATGAAAGAACCCTGTTTTCTACGGTCTTGTTTCAAGTGTAATGCTGAAAACCAAAGGAGAATATTAAAATTTAACAGGTAATACACATATAGGATTCTGATTAAAGTATTGCAAAACACAGGGTTCTGTAAGCATCAAATTGTTTCTCATTATTTTATTAATGTATAATTTAACAGCCTTTATGAATTCAGTTTATAGTTTTACCACCATCGAGATTAATCTTTTTTATAGTACAAATGCATTACAAAAAGTGAAAAAAGTGAAACCATTGCAGTCTTACACTTTGTTACATGTATGTTGATTTTGTTGTCAAATTTTGAATAACTGTACCAAGGGAAATAACTCAACTTAGTTTTTCATATCCAAACTTATCCATCCGTTTTTTTACCATCAGCAATTAAACAAATTTATTTAATTTTTTAAAGTTTCATGAACAATAAAAATATTCTATGAATGGTGAACTTCAAAATTGTTTATTAAGTTTTCATAAGATACATGTCAGATTACCAATGAACATGATTTTTCTTGTGATATGAGATTTTAGCTACCTTTTTGCATAGATCAGCAAATAGCAAAAATAAAGACAAAAATAAAAATGATCCAATATACAGTTATATACACATCATACATATTTTATTTGTTGAGTTATATACATAACAAAATTTAATCTATATATTTAATTGCAGGTTGCCTGGAGTGTTACTATTACATTTCTCTGAAGGGTTGCCACATAACAACTTTAAGAAACTTGAGTTCTGGCATAACAGCTTGAAATACAGTGTGACTGGTTTTGTACAGTATAGAAATGACCCTGATCATTTTGTCACATGGATAAGACGTTTTAAAGGTATATATTTGGGGGAAAAATGCACCTTTAACATCATTCAAACAATATTCATTCATTTCAAACTACAGGGTTCGACACTAACGCTAGTCCGCTAGCCCGAGGCTAGTAAAAATAAGGGAGGGCTAGTAAAGTTTTCATCACAGTAGTCCGACGGGCTAGTCAAAATTTTGTTTATAACTAAAAATTTTACAAAATTTTAGTTGTCAACAAATCCCACATTTTTTGCTGACCTTTGCTGTCTTTATTGTACAGTTTATTCACGTATATTTTGATTGTCAGACATTTTTAACATGAAAGGTACTTTTTGGGGAGGGGAAAGAAACTGAAACAATGATGGTACTTAAAACATTGAAAACCATGTGTGTTACAAACGCCGTGATGATTCTGATCAGAAACCTGGATCTCAAAAGTGCTTTCAGAATATCAAAATGATAACATGAATACGAAATTTACATACATTACTACCGAGGCCATCACTGTTTGGGAAAATTGTACAACTTATTGGGAGGAATTTTAAGCCATTTTTTTTGGTTATTGGGAATTTTCTTTCATGGAAAAAGCTGTATTTCGGGTGTAATTTGAGGCAACCAATATCACTGACATATAATATATACTAAATTATAGGTCTCTGGTAAAAAGATACTGATTTTTAGGAATAAAATTTCGTCCTGCAAAAAAACAAAACAAAAACAACTGACAAACAACAAGGGAAAAGAAGGAGTCCATGAAGAATTATGACAAAAAACAGCAAGGGCAAACCTTTCCTCTTTTGTTGGTGTATTTGTAAATGATCCCTTACTTACCCATCTTCATTAAAGACACTAGTGATAATGATAAGTAAAATGAGGAGGATGATGAAGTAATGATCTAAAGGGGTCTTCAAATAGGTCGAACACATTCTTAATATAGATGATTAAAATATGAATTTTTTAAAATTTTTTTTGGTATTTTTTATTAGCAAACCAGTGAAATTTCATGAAACAAAACATGTTCAAAACCCTCTGGAAATGCTCCAGAACACAGGATTTTGCTTCATTTGTATCAAAATTTTCTGGGGGGGCATGCCCCCATACCCTCCTAGATAGGGTCGTGCCGTTGGCACGACCGTCCAAGTGCCTTCGACACTTGGAGGGCTAGTGATTTCATAAGAGGACTAGTAGAATAATAATTTTACTAGCCCTGCAGGCTAGTACATACATTTAGTTAGTGTCAAACCCTGAACTACCGTTAAAAGGCTTGTATAGTCCGCGGTTTTATTCTCCAAAATTGTGCTTGCATACTTAATATTTCCTATTGGTAATACACATAAATAGATATATAGTTTTTGTAAATTTTGGAAAATGGAGACATTTCAGACAGTAAATAAAATTATATAAAAAATAAAACTGAAGCTGCAAATATAGACCATATCTTTGCTGAGGAATTATTTGGAGGGAGATTAAAAATACAACTGAAAGTTGGGTCGAATTAATTATACATTTACCCTAAAACACAAAAAGACCACTACAATTCAATAAATACTCAACAATAGTGACTACATTTATGATAAGCTCTAACACATCTGGGGAAAAGTTGTGACAAGGTGTGAGTTATTGTTATTTTTGGCAACTATTGATATCAATTTGTTTACCTTTTTTTTTAATGTTCTCTGAAAAAGACTTGGCTAAATGAAACCAAACTTTGTCAAAGTCATGTAAAAGACGTTAAGTATCAAATTTATTTCCGCTTTTATCACTGATCAACCAATATGACCACTATAAAAATAAAACACAGGACCAGGGTTAAAGAGTCTTTGTTTGTATATAAATTTCAGTTTGTTAGTAGTTTTGTAAATTCAGAAATTATTGTGTGGACATATGATAACTTTCTTGTTGAATAATATTTTGACTTTATTTATTTGTTTTTAATGTAAATCCCGAAGCCTTGCAAGTTGACATAACTATTTAATTATGATTCTCTGTGTATTTTCAGACAATAGATGGATGGAGTTTGATGATTTAAAGTCACCTATCTGTAGATTTGAGTCACAACAGCCAGATATGGATTCCAGTCAGATACATATAGTCATGTGGGAATCAATTCAAGAGTCTAGTCAATCCTCAGATCCTAAAGTAGTTAAACCAGGTCCTAGTGTAAATACATCAACAAACATTGTTAACGGTAAAAAACAAGTGACCACTGACAGAGGGGTTCTAAATGGGAATCATTCAGTGTCGCACTTCACAACAAACATGTCTAGTAGTTTACATTGTTTTACTGATGATGCACGAGGTCAGAATGAAAAATTCTCAATGTCTTCTGCAACAGTTTCAACATCTTTACAATCAAACTTGGTGCTCAGTAATACTAAATCGGTACTATCAATAGAACAATCGAATTTAAAACTTAAAGAAAAAACTTTCTCTAAAGATGAGACAAATTTAAATTTAACAAAAGCAGTCACTAAAGAAGCCCAGACGTGGGTAAATGCAGATGTTAATTGTGACAGCAAGAAAGCTCATAGCAGGTCACTTGGTAACAGCAAGATATCAACTACAATAAGTAAACTTAAGCGTGTCGTAGAACAGAAGAATGCACAAGAAGTTAGAGCATTGCGCTTTGAGAAGAAACAGTTGGCAAATGAACCTCCCAAAGAAAAATCGGAAAGACTCATTAAAAATGTTTTGAAAAGTATATCAGAAAATTCTAATGTTATATTTGCTAAAAAGACTGAGACAGAAGAAAGTCCCCCACCAGAAATATCTGTAGAGGGACGAAGAGAAGCACTGGCAAGATTATGGAAGCCTAAATCAGAAGTGATGACGAGAATAAAAAAAGTACACGAAAAAAATGCTCAGCCATCCATGTCTTGTGATACAGAAGTTCTGACATCAAAGTCATGTGGTACAGCAGTTCAGATGTTAAAGACATGCAATACAGAAGTTCAGACATCAAAGTCATGTAACATAGAAGTTCAGACGTCAAAGTCATGTGATACAGAAGTTAAGGCGTCAAAATCAATAGAAGTAAATGACCAATGGAAACCAGCTGACAAGTTGAAGTTAACAGAGCAAAAGTATAGGGGGAAAATGTGTCAACCTCTTAAAGCAAAAGGGGCTTCAAAGTCAACTGTAGTAACTGTCCGTAATAGGTATCAAAAAGGGAGTAGTCAAGATAACGAAAGAATGTACGACTTGGGTTCCGTTAGTGCAAAACGAAATGATAGTATTTCTAGAACATCAGGAGATGGCGACACAGAAACATTAATGAATCAGTCAACTTATACAAGTGTATCGACTAATGGCAACAATAAATCCACTCATGGCCACATTAAATCCACTAATGGCAACAATAAATTCACTAATGGCCACACTAAATCCACTAATGGCCATACTCAAACAGTCAGCAACGGCAAATTTGAGTCTGTAACATCAAGCAGTTCTAAAAGGACATGTGGAACTTCTACTGTATCCAACTACTCACTATTGTCAAAGATTCAAGAAAATGGAACAGTCAAGCAAGGAATAAAAGTGAAAGATGAAAAGCTTAAAGGAAATAAAAGCATATTAGATGTTCTTAAGGAATCTTCAGAGAGGAGAAGTCAATCTAGGTGTTCAAATACAAGTATTTCTTCACAATTACCTTCTTGGAGAAACTTTATTAAACATAAGACATTTAGTGGGTATCAGTTGTCAACACCTATACCAACATCTACTTCAGAATCTACCCCGGCTTCTACACCACCATCTACACCAAAGTCCAGCTGTCGTCCTAGTCCAACATTCAGCATGAAGAGTGAAATTTTATATCCGTCAAAAAGGAAGAACTCTGTGAACAATTTCATTACAGTAAAACGATTTAAACAACAAATCCGACCACCTTTATTTGTCCCATCTTCAGCGAATAATTCTGCAAGGTCCAGCCCAAAGAGGAACATGGGAAATCATGAAAATGACATTTTAGAGAATTTGTACAGTGCTCTAGACATTCCTTTGCCTTCTGACAATCCAGATTCACTTGACCTGTCGGCCATAGAGAACTCAAGTTGTCTCCAGAATATGGATGACTTTTTAGATCAGTTGTTGTGAGGGAAGTTTAATACTTTTTAAGAATTAATAAAAAGGGGGGGAGAGGGGGAAATTTTCTTGCCATTTAATGGCAAGGTGTTTGTTATGTAAAATAAAGTGGTAAGTATTCCAATATATCTAGTGTGATTGTTTCAATTCTGGGCCATCTCAAAATATGCAATAGTCATGATCATACTCGACACAGTGAAGTCAAGCTTAAGGCAGTCTCAAAACTAAAGATCTAACCATGCTTAACGTGAAACACATTGAACAAACTGAGAGCAAGTTTTGAACTGTGAAACATAACACTTATTTACAAGTTACATCTTTTGAAATGCACATTGAACTGTTAAGATTCAAAAGCTATGCAGAGTACATTATGAATGTATTTTATTTGTTTTAAGATTCTTTCTGGAAGTTTGAACTTATTATTGTAATATGACTGACCAGTACTTCGTAATTTGTAACGCAATTAAAAATAATACATTACTGTACATGATGAAAGTAGAATACAGTAACTACAGCCGTGACAATGGCAAGTTGAGATTGTATAGATTTGTTGCCTTCTACAATTTAGAGAAGACAAATTGCCAATGAAATAAAGTTGGCAGAGATGTTGAAAATCTTATGCCTTTTCTGAATTTCTAAAAAAAAAAGACCCCTTTGTCTGATGTAGTTCAGAAACATCTATGGCTTTACAACTTGCATTAAAAATAAGCATTTGAATTCCTTAAGTTAATACATTTTTGAGTGCAATATCTATTTTAAAATAATTTTTTTTATTGAATTGTCCACATTTAGCATGTGATGAATATGTGTTCATATTTGTTGTTTATTTTATTGTTATGTTTTTGATAGGAATTTATATTTATATAATTGTTATTTATGTATGTTTGCTTGTTTTTTTACAGCAACACAGCATTGTTAATTAAAATGTACATGATGTATGATTTGTAATATATCCTTAAAAAGCTTATAGTAAAAGATGCATGTAGCCTGACAGTTCAGAGATGTCGCCTGAGTAGACTGATGGATCTTCATCCTGTTGTCATGGTTACATGTCAACAGACAAGTTTGGTGAGTAATGGAGGATCCAAACATTGCACGTCTGTATATGATCGTATTGTCCTGTGCAACTGATTCTATCAAAATCATCTAAAATGACATTTTTGTTGAAATTTGGATTTATTTGCTGGATCTTCTGTAATTTACTGTAAATTAACCATTTTCTAGAGATAAAAGCATATGCATGATACGTTGAATACTCAAAAGTATTAAAAACTACCAAAAAACTTGCAAAGCTCTCATGTCAGTTTCTTAACTCCAAAAGACATCTTTTGTTTTTTACTGAAAACATTTTTTTGGTTAGAAGTTTGTTGTATATGCAAGAATTGGGATCAGTTGCACATTTCTGTCATGATTAGAAATAACTGTAAAAAAATGTGTGTTTTTCATGATATACATACATGTACTAAGGAACAATTCCATCTGACGGGAAGGAGTCAAATTCAGAATCATCTCAGGAGTCATCAGGTGCTCCGAAAACATTTTAAACGATGAACACAATGAGGAACTATGCAAGTAACAAGTTAAGAGAATTAAGATATGCTAACATTAATTTACTTTGGAAATTTCAAATCAAGTATACATGGATACATAAGTACTTCATAATGAGCATATTCAACTATATAGGAAAGTTTGTGATTAGGATAAAATAAATTGCTACATGTATTCATTCATACATATTGTGAGCATACTTCGACTCCATTTCAATGTCTCTCAGTAAAAAAACAAGATTTCAAATGGTAAAGGGAATTATTGAAGTAATAAACAATCTAGGAAAGGATGGTATATAAACTGGTATCTAGTCTGTCAAATGTGAGCTTACAGTGACTCCTTATGAACTGATTTTGGTATGTTGATCATGAGTTAAGTTGCTGATGCTGAGGCAATTTGGGAAGTTACGAAAAATGAGATTACTGAATCCTCACTAACTACTCTATGGTCTGTTAATCAGGAATGGGGCCTGCCGCTATAGACCGTAAGAAATAATTGATGATGATTGTAGGAAAAAGCAATAAAAAAACATACAGCAATGAGACAGTTAAATATAAAGATGAGCAATTAGCACGAGAACAAATAAAAAATAATTGAATAATATTTGTTCGTCATGGAATACTTGACACAGCCAATTCCATTTAAGGTCAGAATAAGTCAGTCTTAAAGTAAAAAGGTGCTCATGGAAAGAAAGACTTGTAATCGAGTAAATAAATGAGACAGCAAGTATCATGCATGATTCAAATGAAATCCACATGGAAATGAAAAGTGAGAAAAAGGCTTAATATCTTATGGAATATGTATATACGCTCAAAGCAGTTGGAAACACTGCCAACTTGAGTCCTTTCAAATTATTTTCTAAGGACTTCTTATGAGTACTCCTTGGATTGGAAGTTTATGACGTGAGACCATGAGACAAACAATACCTGATTTTATCCGAGTGAATGTCTGTCCGTCCATCTGCGGTAGGAGCAAGGTCAAAATTCAACAATGAAGTCGTTACGATCTGGCGTTTAGCAGATGAAAGCTGTCCTTCACAGCAAATAAAGGTTTTGTGAACTTGCTTAATCAAAATGGCATTCAGTCATCTAAACTTCCTACATGCATGACATGAGACTACCTGTGGCATAAAAATGGCATCCAGTCGTCTAAACATCCTACATGAGACTACCTTCATGCATAAAAATGGCATCCAGTCGTCTAAACGTCCTACATGAGACTACCTTCATGCATAAAAATGGCATCCAGTCGTCTAAAAGTCCTAATTGAGACTACCTAGCCTTCATGCATAAAAATGGCATCCAGTCGTCTAAACGTCCTACATGAGACTACCTCCATGCATAAAATGGCATCCAGTCGTCTAAACTTTTTACATAAGACGTCAACAAAATTTTTCTGTCAAGTATCAATGTGCAAATACTAAAAGATCTTTTAAAGTGCTAAAGTGTTGTAATTTTGTAACAAATTTACTATTGTATTGTTTTAAATATTAATATACAAATTAATCAGGTCATAAGGTCATTTTTTATCAGTCTCATTTTTACCAATTTTATCATATGTAGAAAAGTGTATATTTGGTTCAAAGAATGAATGATATATCCTGCAATTTCATATATTTTTACATAAGATTGAATATTTGAACTTAGGATATACAGAAAATCAAGTTTATATTATGATATAGGTCTAATGTTTTTTGCTTGTCCATATTAGATTGAGGGGGATCATTGAATCACTCCATTGAATGTGTGCTCATTTACCATGTTTACAGTCAGTTCAAAGAAACTAAATGATTCAAGTTTACAGATGCATCTTTGAGAATCTGACTTTGACATAAGTTGAGGATCACATAACAGTTCAGTGGCATTGAATAAGCTTTTAAACTTCATTGCTGGTATTAAGTTTCACATTTGAGTTCATATCTCAGATATATGTGATCTACAATCAAAAAATTTGGAGTTAAGCAGCATCCCTAACTAAAGTAGGTAGCTCCATTTATTTATGTGAAGTTTTATGTTCCGTTCAGACCTCTGATACTAACCGACCTGCTATAACCCAGTGTAATGATACATGTTACTTGTAGTAGGTCAATTTGACCACCTGTTTGTACTTCACTGACATATAAAGTTTTATCTTTCAATAATTTACATGTATATTTGAGATTCAAACTAGCCTTCAATCCTAAAATTTGTTAGTGGAGTAATGCAGCATCCAGTACAATTTACAGTTAGGTCACTGTGACCTATTTTCAATGCTTCACTGACTTTTGGATGAAGTCACTAAAGCTCAGATCTAAGATACTAATAAGTGACTTGCAAACTCAAAAAAGCTTTAACCAATATGCATGAAACTTTAGTGAGTTGTTTATATCTGTTGACGTGAGCTCCCTTTCGTTTTTTATAAATTTCATATTTACCGTTTCTGAGTTTTGGGGTTTTATTCATTAAAAAAGGGGTGATTTTCCAGTTTTCCGACAATAACTCAAGAATGCTTTCACCAACTTGCAAGAAATTTTGGTGAATTGTTTATATCTATTGACATTTATAAGCTCCCTATCGATTTTTATAAATTTTAGATTTTACGTTTCCGAGTTACAGGGTTTTATTCATAAAAAAAGGGTGATTTTCCAGTTTTCAGACAATAACTAAAAAATGCTTTCAGCAGTTCTCATGAAACTTTGGTGAATTGTTTATATCTGTTGATGTAAGCTCCCTTTAGAATTTTATAAATTTTAGATTTTACATTTCTGAGTTATGGGGTTTTATTCATTAAAAAAGGGGGGATTTTCCAGTTTTTGGACAATAATTCAAAAATGCTTTCAGTAGTTCTCATGAAACTTTGGTGAATTATTTATAGCTATTGGTGTAATCTCCCTATTGATTTTCATAAATTTCAAATATGACATTGAGAAGAAATTGAACTTTATTTGTTTATAGTCTGACAACAGATTTACTAAGTATTGCGCAACAGCACAGTGTATTGCACAACAGCAAGAAAACTTTAATTGAATTTATATATAACCAATTTCAAGTTCTTTGACTACATTTATTCAGAAACCTGTAATATGTCAAATATTTAATTACAATCCAAATTCAGACCTGTATCAAGCTTGAATATTGTGTCCATTTTTGTCCCAACTGTTCAGGGTTGGACCTCTTAGGGCGTATCCAGCTGCGCTCAGCGAAGCAGTTTATTTTTACAATTCACAAAAATACACAATATTAAACATTTTTATAATAACAGAGAGGTTCATTTTCATATAAGCAAGTGCATAATGTTCTTCAACAATGATATTATTATATGTAGAAGCCGGGGTATAATTTTGACCCGTCTAATACTCAATATTGGATTGCAACCTTATCTGGTTATGTTGTCACATACATGCATAATGAGAGAAAAATAGATTGAATTTAAGGTCCAATGTCTAAGGTCAAGGTCAAAGTCAAATTACTAAATTAGACCAATGATTAGTAGAAAAGTGGCTTTCAGATTATTGAACCAAATACTACATTAGGGATTGCAACCTTACTATGATATATAGTCAAATAAAATGAAAGATCCTTTTTAGCTCACCTGGCCCAAAGGGCCAAGTGAGCTTTTCTCATCACTTGGCGTCCGGAGTCGTCGTTAACTTTTTACATTTTGAACTTCTTCTAGAGAACCACTGAATGGAATGAAATCAAACATGGCATGAATGTTCCTTATGAGGTGCTGACCAAGTGTTGTTACTTTGAAGCTGATCCATTATCCAAGATGGCCGCCAGCGGGGGACTTAGTTTAACATAGGACACTATAGGAAATACATACAAATGTCTTCCTTTAGAGAACCACTGAATGGAATGAAACCAAACATGGCATGATTGTTTCTTATGAGGTGCTGACTGAGTGTTGTTACTTTGAAGCCGATCAATATTCCAAGATGGCCGCCAGCAGGGGACTTAGTTTAACATGGAACCCTATGAGAAATACATACAAATGTCTTCTTTTAGAGAACCACTGAATGGAATGAAACCAAACATGGCATGAATGTTCCTTATGAGGTGCTGACCGAGTGTTGTTACTTTGAAGCCGATCCATACTCCAAGATTGCCGCCAGCGAGGGACTTAGTTTAACATGGGACCCTATGGGAAATACATACAAATGTCTTCTTTTAGAGAACCACTGAATGGAATGAAACCAAACATGGCATGAATGTTCCTTATGAGGTGCTGACCAAGAGTTTTGCTACTTTGAAGCTGATCCATCATCCAAAATGGCCGCCAGCGGGGGACTTAGTTTAACATAGGAGCCTATGGGAAATAAATACAAATGTCTTCTTTTAGAGAACCACTGAATGCAATGAAACCAAACATGGCATGAATGTTCCTTATGAGGTGCTGACCAAGTGTTGTTACTATGAAGCCAATCCATTATCTAAGATGGCCGCCAGCGGAGGACTTAGTTTAACATAGGACCCTATGAGAAATACATACAAATGTTTTCTTTTAGAGAACCATTAAATGGAATGAAACCAAACATGGCATGCATGTTCCTTTTGAGGTGCTGACCAAGTGGTGTTACTTTGAAGCTGATCCATCATCCATGATGGCTGCCAGATGGGGACAATGTTTAACAAAGGACCCTATGGCAATACATACAAATGTCTTCTTTTAGAGAACCACATACTGAATGGATTGAAACCAAACATGGCATGAATGTTCCTTATGAGGTGCTGACTAAGTTTTGTTACTTTGTAGCTGATCCTTCATCCATGATGGCCGCTAATGGGGGGACTTCCTTTAACATAAGACCCTATGGGAAATAAATACAAATGCTTCTTCTAGAGGTGCACTGAATGGAATGAAACCAAAACATAGCATAAATGTTTCTTATGAGGTGCTGATGAAGTGTTGCTACTTTGTTGCCGATTTACTGTTCAAGATGGCCACCAGGATTTTTTATTAAATTACAGGACCAATATTAAACCAAATTTGGCCTCACTCATTATTAGGGTATCTGTTATGATTTTAATCTATTTTTACATGATTTCCAAAACGAAAGTAGAATCAGGTGAGCAACACAGGCTCTTGAGAGCCTTTAGTTTATTTTAAGGTCACTTTGTCTAAGGTCAAGGTCATAGTTTCTAAACAATTCTAAGATTTGTGCAAAATGTGGTTTCTGAACAAGCTTTTTTTTTTTATTAGTTTGCAATCTAACTTTGTTATATGATCACATATATAATGAGAGGAAGATCTCTATTTATTTTGAGGTAACAACATCTAAAGTATAGGTCATAGTTAAAACAGATAGTTAAACATTTGTACTGGAAAGATGTTCAAATTGCTTAATTAAGTACTTCATATCAAATTGCAACCTTGTGGTCACTTCTAATGAGAGGATTGGTTTTAAAATGAAAGGTCAAGGTCATAATTTCGAAATATAGATTTTTCTTGGACAATATTACTGTCTTAGAATCATGAAAGAAAAGAATAGTACATAAAAGGTAAACAGAAAAAAAATTACCATCAGATTTCTATAAGCTCCTTCTTCATATGGAGGGGTGAGAGCTTGCTCAATAAAGGCTATTTAATTTGATCAGCTTATCAAAAGATCAAAAATTTTATCTATAGTCTCATTTTGTTCTTTTCCATTGGATATTTTTAGGAATTTTGCTATTTGCAAAAAAATTGCCTACAGTCCTTGGCCAAAGGGGACTAATTTTAAACTGGATTTTGGTCAGAAATTGTGGCTATTTATTTGGGTAATTTTAGTGTAATGGCTAAGCCATGTGGTATCTTTAGAACCATTCAGCCAATTCTTTTCAAATTTTGATAGTTTCTTGGGTTCAAATTCGATATTGAATGAAAATTTAAAACTTTTGCCAGTTTTCATTAACACACAACAGCATATGAGTGTTCACATATGAAAACAGAACAGAACTAGTTTGTGATTAGGTCATTTTATGGGGAACCACTAGGTCAGTGATATTTGGAATGCAGTTGTATTAGCATTGGCACATCTCATTTCCATGGAGGTTATTTGGCCCTGTACCTTTAGTCATGGTTCACAGATTTAATTATTGCAATTTCAATTTCAACATTTGCATTTTACTATCAAAATTTCAAAAAGCGAGACATTTCTCTCTGTCAACAATTTATTTTACAGTTGAGAGGCTTTTATGTTATTAGGTGTGTGACATGCAATCCTATAGCCTTCCAATAAAAACAGACTGCCCTGACTTCCATTTGACAAATGATTGTCCAGTTAAGCTGTCATTTATATGTTAAATTTCAAGTCACTAAGAAGGTTCTTTGGTGAATTGTTCATAAGCAAAACACTAATTACCCTGTCCTTCATTTAAGTTACCAAGTTATTTTCCTGGGTATGATTGTGCATGTTGATTGCAATCCGCCTTAAATATGTCACTCACTTCTGGTTCATACTTCATTGACTGGTTGTTCAGGTCAAAGAATGGGCCATGTTCGGTAGGTGACCTGCAATATTGGCCATGGAAGATTCACAAAGAAGATTGC